TATTGTATTGTCATCGGAAACAAAGCTTCCCTGAAAATTTCAGCGCGCTAGCTAACTGGGAAGTGCCCGAAATTTCGATCGCGAGATTTGATAGAAAGACAAACAAACAAACAGACGCGAAAGCAAGTTAAAGAAAACGAAAAAATAACCAAAATATGAATGATATGCATAATATTTACGGCAAAAGAAACATACATCAAAGAAAGTGGAGTAATATCTTTAAAATAGGCTTTGAGGATATTAATTAAAAATTTGTTCGTTAAAGCCAAATATAGTACGCCATCAACAGTCTAGAATTGAAGACGGACAAGAAATACTACTTTTAAAATTTCTAAAATGTATAAACATAGTTTGTAGAAAAGTATAGATTTCTATTTATTTTCATTTGAGTTTATCTTATGTCAATTACCACTATTTTTTATCACCAACTTTCTTTACTCCAATTTAACACTGAGCAGGAGAAAAAGACTGCACCAACGACGCTTCCCAGTACAAGGACTTCAGCACCTTGAGATGTCCATCAGAATCTGGACGCTACGTTGTGCCAATGTTAATGTGGGTCTACATGATCTTGACCAACATCCTGCTCCTCAACTTGCTCATTGCCATGTTCAGGTACCCTTCAGATATATCTCAACCACCGTCTGTATGTACCAAATAACCACCTAGACACAACAATTTATCAAAAGATACATTCAAGTACCGATTATTTCAGCTACACCTTTAAAGAAGTGGAAGAGAAGACGATAAACCATGCCAGTTTCCAGCAGTTTAATATTGTTTTGGAGTACGCCCAACGCCCACCCGTCCCTACACCACTCACAATTTTGTTTATTGTTTGCAAGTGGATTTTCAACATATGCAACAATTCAAATATAAGATCCACAAAATTTAGTAAGTCACATTATTAAACGCTATTTGTGTTTTTTACACACAAGCGAGAATTCTACTACCAAATCAGAAAATGCTTTTAAAACGTTTTAATAACAAGCATTTATGCAATAATGCACTTAAAAGGAGAAAATTAACGATTTTCTTTAAATATATAATAATAAACTACTATTTAAATTAATATAAAGAAAAGCGTGGGTTGTTTTATTTTCTATTTGATACCTTTATTAGTTTTTAGGAAGAGACCCATGCTTTTCCTTATAAGTTTTCAAATATTAGTATATTATTATATATTTAAAGAAAATAATTGATGTTCTCCTTTTTAGTGTATTATTACATAAACATTTGTTATTAAAACGGCTTTATGCATTTTTTTATGTACATTAAATTTGTAATACAATAGAATTTCTAAAATGACTAAAAACAATTGCGAACCAAATGAACATAATAATGTGCGTATAATAGTATGGAAAATAGTATATAAGAGCCTACTTATTTCAGAACATTTTAAATAGTTTATTAAAAATAAATTAATTAGTCATCGAATTAAGTCCAATTTGATGTCAAATGGCATTGTCATCGAGTTTTGACCAACGTGCAGAATTTTAGAGAATAAGGTGGAAATAATGCTTGCCCGTTCGATCGAGATACAGAAATACAAAAAGACGGACGAGACAAAGCTATTTAAATAAAAGCTTGTAAAAACGAGTGACGTAAAAAATATAAGCATTTCTCAATTTTAATATAACACTAATACTCAACATAAATGTTGATTTGCATTATATTATAAATATATAATTGTCAAATGTTGTCTAAATGAATGGCATTTACGTATGTGTATTAGGACGTATCTATAGTCGCGACGAGCTAGCTGAACAAAAGAAACTCATTCAATGGGAGAACGCAATTATCACAACATACTTCGACACGGTTCAAAGGAAAGATGATGTTAATGGGATCTCCCGAAAAGAGTTTGAAAAGTACAGTTTTGTATTTTATTTTATTAAGGAGTGTAGCTATGAGCTTAGCTATATTTGAATAAAATTGAAAATTTAAAACAATTGTTCATTGTGTACATAATGCATTTAGTCTTTTTAAGTTTACAACTACTTGAATTCGAATATTAAAATATTTCTGTGATTTTCAGATTATCAAAACACATAACTGATCTTCAAAAACAGGTAACGTTTTTTTTTAACACATAAAAAACTAATTTGTAAATTAAATGCAAAATTATTATTTAAAAAAGCATTTATATATAAAAAAAAAAAAAAGGAAATTAGATCCAGTATTCTGTGTATTAATAAGTACTGGAATACCCATTATTCTTAAATAACCGTGTGTTTCAAGGGTCAACCATAAATGTCATGCTAATTTGATGATTTGTATCATTTCCCTCCACTCCCTACAGTAATTTAGTATTACAAAAAAAAAAGATACATACATACATACATGCATGCATGCATACATACATACATACATACATACATACATACATACATACATACATACATACATACATACATACATACATACATACATACATACATGCATGCATATATACATACATACATACATACATACATACATACATACATACACTCATACATACATACATACATACATACATACATACACACATACATACATACATACATTCATACATACATACATACATACATACATACATACATACATACATACATACATACATACATACATACATACATACATACATACATACATACATACATACATACATACATACATACATACATACATACATACATACATACATACATACATACATACATACATACATACATACATACATACATACATACATACATACATACATACATACATACATACATACATACATACATACATACATACATACATACATACATACATACATACATACATACATACATACATACATACATACATACATACATACATACATACATACATACATACATACATACATACATACATACATACATACATACATACATACATACATACATACATACATACATACATACATACATACATACATACATACATACATACATACATACATACATACATACATACATACATACATACATACATACATACATACATACATACATACATACATACATACATACATACATACATACATACATACATACATACATACATACATACATACATACATACATACATACATACATACATACATACATACATACATACATACATACATACATACATACATACATACATACATACATACATACATACATACATACATACATACATACATACATACATACATACATACATACATACATACATACATACATACATACATACATACATACATACATACATACATACATACATACATACATACATACATACATACATACATACATACATACATACATACATACATACATACATACATACATACATACATACATACATACATACATACATACATACATACATACATACATACATACATACATACATACATACATACATACATACATACATACATACATACATACATACATACATACATACATACATACATACATACATACATACATACATACATACATACATACATACATACATACATACATACATACATACATACATACATACATACATACATACATACATACATACATACATACATACATACATACATACATACATACATACATACATACATACATACATACATACATACATACATACATACATACATACATACATACATACATACATACATACATACATACATACATACATACATACATACATACATACATACATACATACATACATACATACATACATACATACATACATACATACATACATACATACATACATACATACATACATACATACATACATACATACATACATACATACATACATACATACATACATACATACATACATACATACATACATACATACATACATACATACATACATACATACATACATACATACATACATACATACATACATACATACATACATACATACATACATACATACATACATACATACATACATACATACATACATACATACATACATACATACATACATACATACATACATACATACATACATACATACATACATACATACATACATACATACATACATACATACATACATACATACATACATACATACATACATACATACATACATACATACATACATACATACATACATACATACATACATACATACATACATACATACATACATACATACATACATACATGTATGTACCTAAGTACATACGTACGTACGTACATACGTACATACGTACATACGTACATACGTACATACGTACATACGTACATACGTACATACGTACATACGTACATACGTACATACGTACATACGTACATACGTACATACGTACATACGTACATACGTACCTAAGTATAGACGTACATACGTACATACGTTCATACGTACATACATACACGCGTGTCGATTACGCTTTAAAAAATACAATAAATATCACACAGGTACTGACGACGAAAAAGGATCGTGAAGATGCTTATGAGATAAGAAGTTATGACGTAAGCATCCATCTTATTTCATTTTTTTCTTTAAATTGCGATTATTTTCTTTTTTTTTTCCCCAATCTAGTCTATTTAACTGTCAAAAATACATAGTTTTTCAAAAAGTTTTTGACTGTTCAATCTATTAAATCATTGAAAACATATTGCATAAATTGTTTGCGTTTCTTTTTCTTCGAGTTTTTCATTATCTTTTTGTACTCAAACCACTTTTTAATAATCCAATAGCTGTTTGTCAGCAAATATGTACCATTGCTTATAAATGAACTGATTACTCTCTTTCGACTTATTTGTTTTTATTTATATATTCCGGCCATAAAGCGAATTGTAATATTACCATTAACAATTACTCATAATCAATTAATTTTACGGCTGTTTTATAACTGTTTTATATAATTTACACATGAATTTTTCCTCTATCCAAATGTATTCTACTTCTATTTTTTGTGTGTAGTTGAAGAACTAGGGATATTAAAAGTTACAATTATTGACGCGGTTACATCTCTTTAGTAGTTAAACCATCGTTCAGGCATGTCAATTTACAACCCTTTGATATAACATTTCTGAAATTATGTCATTTTTACCGCTGGTGCTCACTGCACCAGAGCTATATCTGTGCAAAATATCAAGTTTGTGTTGTATCTGAAAGTAATTAATCTAATTCAAGAGCTTTAAAAATTGCATAATTTATAAAAAAAAACCTCCGTCATTCTAGGCTCAGTTTTTGGTTATTTTGAAAATGATTATTTAGATTGACAGCTACACCGAGAGTGAGTACCCGATGCAATAAGTGTTGGTAACCAACAAACAAATATCCCATACTTTTTATAGATATAAATTAACTCAATTTTCATATTATCGTATACAGATTATATAGAAAATAATGTGATCGTGCTTAATAAGTAAAGTTTATTGCGTCTGTTTTGCAGCTTTAAACTTCCCTATTTTATCGTGTGTTAGAATATAAATGCTGTATTATAAGTGTTTGAAATTATAATTCGAGATATGACACATTTTGACGTTTTACACCATCCCAGAACCGGAATAAATTAGATTTGAAATCATGTCTGATTATGGCTGATTTAGTTTGATTGTCGAAATTTCTTCTATATATGTTATATCGAATGTTTAGTTCTCTTTCACCTTTTGAGTCAGTTAAAAAAAGAGTTAATTGTACTTACTCCACTTCCATCTTTTTAAAAGTCAATAAATTGATTACCGATTGAGACAGGCAGACGAAATTTAAATGTTTATACATATTGTTGTCAAGTTTTCGAAGATTTCTGGTAACTGGAAGTGGTAATTTATTTCAGTAGGGACACGATAACTTGAGTACTGTTTCACACGAAATTTAATCTATAAGTATCAGTTCTTGTATTTGGATTGCAGTCAAAGTGTGTGTGACCTTAAATAACTAGAAACATCAATAACATGATTACAGTTTCAGGAAAGCGGACTAATTTTTATTCATAGGTATAACATCATCTTCTCTTAGTGCAACACATTTTGTATTATTTCTGGTAAACGGAAGTACTACTTTACGCTATTTCTTATGTCTCCAAAAAACCATAAGAATATGATAACTTTATATAATTTTGGTGCATTTAAAAAGAATGGCAAATGAATGCTTAAAAATGTTTTTGCTCTAGTTCCATGATTGATCAATAGATTGATAAAACAATTTAAATTGTAATTTTACATATCCTTGGAAAACAAAATCTAATCTTGAAGTCCTACTTAGCTTTCCGGGACTATAAAATTATAAAGTATTGATATTTCATATTTTCTTCATCACTTTGTTATCAATCTGTTTCTAGTTAAAGAAACTTAGCCCAAGAAAAGACAAGTCAACATATAAGTAAGTATTAATAATGCATATGCACATATACGCATATATCTAACTTGGCAATTTATATAGTGTTGTTGATTTGCATAGCTATTAGTTTAATGATGTGAAGAAAATGCAGACTTACGTACTTATATATATATATATATATATATATATATATATATATATATATATATATATATATATATATATATATATATATATATATATGACAATAATGCTTTTTTTAAAAATGAATTATCGAACTAGAAGAAAAGAAGAGGAAGAAATAAAAACAATTGTGTGGCATATCAATAGAGGAAGTGGCAAGGGCAGCGGCAAGGTAAGCGGCACGAGCAGCGGCAAAACGAGCGGCACGAGGAGCTGCAAGAGTAGGGGCATAGGAATCGGCAAGAAGGGCGGCAAGGGAAGGAAAGTGGCGCCTTTAAAAAAAGCAAAAACACATAAACTGAAACAGAACAAAAATTGATAAATAACTACCACACTGGAGCTGTAATGTTTGGGGAGGAAGGCGCCAATCTTGCGGTCACCATAATTTCTAATTTGTTGATTCATAAAAGCGTCTATTTACTTCTGTCTGTCTTCTTTTAACGTAGTGTATATACTGTTGGATCTCGAATATTACTGATAGCGTGACCATCGTAATACATGTAGTCGAGACCGAGCTATAAAAAAATAAGAGTTTCACAATAAAATTATATATGTTTATCAAATTATTATGGATTTCCTTTTTTTAGAAATCGGAGACATCGTAAAGTACTATTTTCGGTCCCCGGAAATAACATAACATTTTAAAGTATCAAGGGAAAAGTATATAAGACTTAAGTAGGCCTATTTCATTGCGTTAACTTAATGAAAGGGTATTAAATTTCAGAATATTAGAAACCAGAAAAACAGTAAAATACCATTTTCAGTTATCGAAGGTCAATCAGAATCGAGAGTAAATCAAGTATTAGACTTTATAATCATATATGAAATGTATATGAATATAAGTTTTTATTTTTATAAACGAAATATTAATTAAACAGGAGACTTTTCCTGTTAGAATGTACACACTGAAATGAAGTAACAGTTTTAGTTATTGAAAGTCATTTAAAAGTTGATAGAAATCTGCACATGTAATCTAACTAGCTGAATAGTCGTGCTTCGCCACGGTGAATCATTTTTAAATGTACCACCTTCGATACAGAAAAAAATCAAATACAAAAACAAATGAAAACACAAACATGAACGAAAAAGTAAACACAAAAGCAAACGCTATTGCAAACACAAATACAAACACAAACACAAATGAAACATAAATGTTGATATCTTTGACCTGTCAAAATAGTTTGTGCCTTTAAATTTTCAACTACGAATTTTCTCATTTGAAAACTATCCACTTTTAATTTCGTGTGTTTTACATTTTTGTTTTTTAATGAGTCTTGAAACATTTTTCTGAAGAGTACATATATATTTTAATTGCTTCTAAGCATTCTCCTTTAAATATGATGTTCCTTACTTTCTACCTCGAGTTTGTCTTACTTATTTTATATAGTAGATTTCGTTTTTATTAATAATTATATGACATGGAACACATTTAACAAGGCACATGAAAGCAATTTTTGTGATTATTCATTTTGAAAAATAGCTTTTTATAACTGTATATTCCATAATCATTGAATACAATACATCATGTTAACCTTTGCTTGACATTGATATTTCATCTTTTCGTCTTGGAAATTGTTTAATAATCCTGAAATTGTTAATATGTCATGGAAAATACTGTAAATGCACAATAGCTAATCGGTTGTTATTTTTTTTTTCATATGTCTTATTAAAGCTTAAACTTTGAATTGTATTTTGAGCACCTACATACATTTGAGCATGCTGCTCCTACATTTCATGTTTTGAAATAATCTAAGGTGGATTTCGTGTTAATGTTTTGAATTTCATAAGAATAATATGCGTTTCATAATAAAAAAATTAATGTGATGATATTTAAAGTTTTAAAAAAGTAACACTTCTAACAGTGCATTTGTTTTGTTAACGACACAGACTATTAAAATATTAAAATTAAACTATAGAAAATGTTGCTTATCAACAATTTAATTCACCTGGCGCAACAAGAGGAGAGTAGACAACAGACCACAGAAGTGGACAGAGACGATTTGTTAAATTTGTATTACCTGTGAAAGATTTTATTCATCCGATGAACACCCGCTTAATAAAACCTAACATTTAAAAAGAAATATTTTCTTAAAATTAATCGTTACAAACCCATTAAATAAAAGCATTAATGGTTTAACGTTCCATAATGTATTTTCTATTAATTTAAAAAAAAAGTGTGTTGTTTTCAATCATGATTGTTTGCCTTTAAGTTACAAATTGTAGTTCAAATATTAGATGAAAACATAATGAAAAGGTTAGACAAAAGATAATAACAAAGGGGTCGTCCATAAATGATATCAAACTTGTACGGGGGAGGGGGGGTCCGTAATTTTGTGATGGTGTGTGATGAGGGGGAGGGGGGTCAGATGGTATGACGTCACATTTTGCATTATAAAAAATGTTAGAAAACGAGTTTTAGCCGTTATTTCGCGTTTTAGAAAACGGTTTTAATAAATTGTAATAGGAATTGATTAAAATACTCTATGTTGACAGTGTTAAAATTATCGATGTTTTAAGATAAATTCAACAGCAATTTTGAGGGGGGTTGTAGGCTGAAGTGTGACGTCATTTTAGTTTTGGGGCGGGCGGTTGACTTTTTGTGACGACAAGTGACGGAGGGGGGGGGGGGGAAGGTAAAAATTGTCAAAAAAAGCGTGACGTCTTTTATGGATGACCCCAAAGCAAAAAAAAAATACTATTTCTTCGATGCACGATTTATCCCATTAATTTAACAAACCCTATGAAGCCAAGAATAAACTAGAAAAAAATGAGCTTAAAAATGGAGAAATAACCAGTCCGTAACATTTATTTTTTGGAAATCGTATTTTAAATAATATTTTTAAAAAACTATTAGAATATCAAAAGATGCACACGAGCGACTGAGGATGTACCAATAGTGTTTTAATTGCAATTTTGGATTTTATATTCAATCTGTGTCGATTTTATGTCACAAATTATTCCTTTTTTTGTAATTTGTAGTATTTATCATTACGTGGTTTAAGCCATTAATACATGACGATAATTTTGGACAAATATCTCAACTCCCTTTACTTACCTCTCTTATTAAGTAGCTTTATCCCCCTTTATTAGTTGACAGGCCTTATATAACCTTTCTAGATAGCACATAGAGTGTTTAATAAGTCTACATAGTCTACAACGTTGTTTTAATAGAGTTATGAAAATGCTAGAACGCATTAGTTATCCAAATACCTTCATTTATCCGATATCTACCACCTTGCCTATTTGATTTTTTTCTTAAAATGTTAAAACTTGCTAAACAGCCTTCGTATTCTGATACATGATACCCAAGTGCTGAGTAGTCAAACATGAAAGGCCATTTAAGCTAGCAATTTTTTTTTGGTATCCAGTCAGGTCACACATGGGTCACTCTCACAAGTCACATAAATGTGACTTTAATCATGTCATGCCAGAGTCACTTACAAATGGTGACACAAGAGTTACCCACATCAGGTCACAAGAGTGAGTCTCACCAAGTCACACAAGTATATAGGGGGACTCAAGGGTCACTTAATTGTTACACGAGTGTCACTCCATTCAGGTCACATATAAGACCCTCACATGTCCAATAACTTTCAATCCCAATTGGTTATACAAGAGTCACTCTTATCAAATCAGAGTCACTTTCATAAGGTGACCTTAGTGGAGGACTTCTCTCCCTACTCCCCGTGATAAAGATTATAGTCGGTCCAGAGAAAATAATGGACACCAGCGAGAAAAGTCTCAAAGGTATTTGAGAGGTGCATAAATTAATTTAAAAATCTTGCACGGCGTAGTTACAATAAAAATTGTTATAAAATCTTGTCTCTCTGGTTTTTTCGGACTTTACTAAAGATTGGATGTATTTTATGTTTTTAATATTTTCGGTAACTAAATAAAAATTTTAAAAAAGCAAAAACAATTTGGTTTTCACGTGTAATGGCGACATAAACAATGGCCGCCATAAATTTTATTGTACACATTGTAAGCTAAAAATAGAAAAAATAGGCCATGGTGTTTAAATTTGCATAGTTATTTAAAAACTTGATCTGCAAAGTTTTGTAAACAAAATAACTATAAAAAGGGGCTGTCAGAAATCGATCACGGAGTTCCTTTACAGCCAATCAATGTTTTTCTTACGAAAGTGAAACATCGGGTTATAACTTAGGCTTGATGAAAATAAATAGAAATGTAGCCTTAAACTCAACAAATTATTTTCAAGTTCTCTGGATCTGCAACTTGTATAGCATTGATTCTAAAAATATTAAATTTCTGAATTAATTTTAGGCTTAAGTTTTTAATAAAATTTTACCATTTATTATTTTTATGGTCCTAAATCTAAAAAAGCACATTTTTAGTCCATGTCAACAACATTACGGAAGGAATCTCGTCAACTCGCTGGTTTCCATTCCTCTAAACTACTGAGTGTCGTTGATATTGAGGTACTGGATATCAAAAAATGCATTTGCTATTTTATGACTATGACACAACTAATTGCACTTGGTGTCGTAAGACTGCAACAAATATAATTGCATCTGACATCTTAAGACTGCAACAAATATAATAGCACCTAATATCTTAAGACTGCAACACAACTAAATGCACCAGACAGACAGTCACACAACTAATTGCACCTGATACCTTAAGACTATGACACAACTAATTGAATCTGACATCTTAAGACATTCAAACAACTAATTGCGCCTAATATCTTAAGACTGCAACACAACCCCAGCATGGTAGATCTATACAGTTTAAAATCAATCGAACGAGATCGATTGTAAACCCAACAAGTGCTTGTTTAAACGGCAATGTCTTACAATGGCAATGATACAAACTGTTATAAACAAATGTACGCTGCTTGCAGTGAATTGAATTATTTATAATGGAGAAACATTTTTTTATGAGAAGCACAACCGTGTATGTTTTTCTTCATCGGTCAGCTCGCGATGAGAGCTTAATGACCTTGAAAAAACTAAGGTAGCCTTCAGAGCTTAGTGACCTTGAACAACTAAGGTAGCTGTCAGAGCGTATTGACCTAGGGAAAAAATACGCTGAGATTGAGGTCTGACCTTACTGACCTCGATGTAACTGTAGATGATATACCTAGAAACAAAAGGATATATATATATATATATATATATATATATATATATATATATATATATATATAGAGAGAGAGAGAGAGAGAGAGAGAGAGAGAGAGATAGAGAGAGGGAGAGAGAGAGAGAGAGAGAGTTCGATGTATCAAACACCGACATTTGAATATAGTCCATGATTAAAACTTCCATAAAGTGAATACTGACAGTTATTTTTTCTACTATGTTGATAGTTAAAAGATCTAGTCCTTTTCGTCTTACACAAACTCTCAAAAGTTACAAACGCGTGTGCTTCGAATCAGCTGAATAAGACGTTTTAAAACATATCTAAACAAACGTGAAGCTATTCAAAGTACTGACGTGCACATTTATTATTGATGATTTTTTTTCCCATGTCTTTAGTTATGCATGAAAAAAAAACTGTTCAAGCGTACAAAGTTTAAACCAATAAAATCAATGTAGGAGGGTTGGCTCCCAGGAAGATACTTTGACCCAGTTCTTGTGTAATAATGCAGGTAACGTCTTCAGACTTCGATAGCTCTGGTTGGATTAGGGTGGGTGAATCGATCTGATCAGCCTTACTGTAGGTATTACAGTTTAAACGCAATCGCTTATCGGGCAGTTATTTTTTTTATCTACAAGGTAGAACAACTAATATGAAATGAATTATCTTGGTATGGCAAGTTCCTGTTTGCGATTAAAAAAAAAACATTTTCTTTTATACTGGAAAAAAGGGATATTTTAAATGTAGATAATGTAAGTATTTTAAATTTTATTTAATTTACATTTCAACGTTTTACTTAATTAAATATACAACGATGTTTTCTTTGTTGTTTTTTTCATCTTTATCATCTCTCTGGTTGAGCATATTGCTGACCACACTATCTCTTCATACGCCAAGGTCACAGAAACAAGTAAACTCTATTTCACTTGCCCCATAGAACTCAGTTTGAAAGAGAACTTTACTTTATTATCATCTCTCAGTGCCGATTGAGGCTTCAAAAAGTGTGAGCAATGCCATACATACTCTAGATCAGGGGTTCCCAACCTTTTTTACTCTAGAGCACATTCTTAAATACCGGTAGGATGGCGGGCACCACCTATTTTAAATCGACATACTCCTTCCCGTCACCCGGGGACAAAACTTTCGATTAGCACCCCCCCCTCAAACTTTCGATTTGCACCCCCCTTAAACTTTCGATTTGCACCCCCCCCTCAAACTTTCGATTTCCATCCACCCCCCCCCTCCCCAAACTTTCGATTTCCATCCCCTTCAACCTTTCAATAATGTTTATATAAAAAATTCTGTCTCTGTCGAATAGTGAGAGGCGGGCACATACGAATCGTTCGGCGGGCGCCATTGCGCCCTCGGGCACAGGGTTGGGAACCCCTGCTCTAGATTAATCCCCTGCTCATGTAATACAACGAAGGCCACCCTCTTTAACATTTTTTCTTCGTTGATCTTTTCCATTTTTCTTTTGAAATCCTTGTTTTCTCTTGTCCTGTGGTATCTAACTAAAAACAATGCAACCTCTCTTGTTCTGAGAGTATAAACCAATATTTTAATTCAAGTTTATTTAAATTAAGTGTTTTTTTTATTAATAATGTTAAAACGTTATGTTCTGTATATACTCAATCATTCCTGAGCTTGCCTTTTAATTAGCTCAAAATTTAAGGTTTCTTTAAGTTTTCTTCGTACAAGTAAACATCCGTATCATTTATTAATTAGGTCAATCTCGTGAGTTAATTTATTTAATATACTAAACTGCAATAATAATTACTACATATATGTTTGAAATAAGTTATTACTATCAATCCCAAATACTGCATAATGTATCTACGGAAGTAATATGTTAGACGTAATTCGTGAAACACTGATATAAATGTGACCAAATACAATTAAATGCTGATCAAACGTCGAGTGTATAGATTACATAATGATATAGACAAACACGACTAAATAGATTCACTAACGACACTGACACGACTATATATACAAACTAACGTTTGATGTTTGGATAACATGGACATGTTTTGATTGTATTGAAAGTACTAAAATAGAAATAGCTGCATATAAATGACTGCATATGTCAAATACTGACAAAGAAATTATTGCATATATCAAATGCTGAAATAGAAATATTTGCACAGGTCAAATAGACATAGATATAGTTGCATAGGTCAAACATTTACGTAAAAATGACTGCCTCTATTAAATACCGAAAGTATGCTGCTCCTACATTTCATGTTTTGAAATAATCTAAGGTGGATTTCGTGTTAATGTTTTGAATTTCATAAGAATAATATGCGTTTCATAATAAAAAAATTAATGTGATGATATTTAAAGTTTTAAAAAAGTAACACTTCTAACAGTGCATTTGTTTTGTTAACGACACAGACTATTAAAATATTAAAATTAAACTATAGAAAATGTTGCTTATCAACAATTTAATTCACCTGGCGCAACAAGAGGAGAGTAGACAACAGACCACAGAAGTGGACAGAGACGATTTGTTAAATTTGTATTACCTGTGAAAGATTTTATTCATCCGATGAACACCCGCTTAATAAAACCTAACATTTAAAAAGAAATATTTTCTTAAAATTAATCGTTACAAACCCATTAAATAAAAGCATTAATGGTTTAACGTTCCATAATGTATTTTCTATTAATTTAAAAAAAAAGTGTGTTGTTTTCAATCATGATTGTTTGCCTTTAAGTTACAAATTGTAGTTCAAATATTAGATGAAAACATAATGAAAAGGTTAGACAAAAGATAATAACAAAGGGGTCGTCCATAAATGATATCAAACTTGTACGGGGGAGGGGGGTCCGTAATTTTGTGATGGTGTGTGATGAGGGGGAGGGGGGTCAGATGGTATGACGTCACATTTTGCATTATAAAAAATGTTAGAAAACGAGTTTTAGCCGTTATTTCGCGTTTTAGAAAACGGTTTTAATAAATTGTAATAGGAATTGATTAAAATACTCTATGTTGACAGTGTTAAAATTATCGATGTTTTAAGATAAATTCAACAGCAATTTTGAGGGGGGTTGTAGGCTGAAGTGTGACGTCATTTTAGTTTTGGGGCGGGCGGTTGACTTTTTGTGACGACAAGTGACGGAGGGGGGGGGGGGGGAAGGTAAAAATTGTCAAAAAAAGCGTGACGTCTTTTATGGATGACCCCAAAGCAAAAAAAAAATACTATTTCTTCGATGCACGATTTATCCCATTAATTTAACAAACCCTATGAAGCCAAGAATAAACTAGAAAAAAATGAGCTTAAAAATGGAGAAATAACCAGTCCGTAACATTTATTTTTTGGAAATCGTATTTTAAATAATATTTTTAAAAAACTATTAGAATATCAAAAGATGCACACGAGCGACTGAGGATGTACCAATAGTGTTTTAATTGCAATTTTGGATTTTATATTCAATCTGTGTCGATTTTATGTCACAAATTATTCCTTTTTTTGTAATTTGTAGTATTTATCATTACGTGGTTTAAGCCATTAATACATGACGATAATTTTGGACAAATATCTCAACTCCCTTTACTTACCTCTCTTATTAAGTAGCTTTATCCCCCTTTATTAGTTGACAGGCCTTATATAACCTTTCTAGATAGCACATAGAGTGTTTAATAAGTCTACATAGTCTACAACGTTGTTTTAATAGAGTTATGAAAATGCTAGAACGCATTAGTTATCCAAATACCTTCATTTATCCGATATCTACCACCTTGCCTATTTGATTTTTTTCTTAAAATGTTAAAACTTGCTAAACAGCCTTCGTATTCTGATACATGATACCCAAGTGCTGAGTAGTCAAACATGAAAGGCCATTTAAGCTAGCAATTTTTTTTTGGTATCCAGTCAGGTCACACATGGGTCACTCTCACAAGTCACATAAATGTGACTTTAATCATGTCATGCCAGAGTCACTTACAAATGGTGACACAAGAGTTACCCACATCAGGTCACAAGAGTGAGTCTCACCAAGTCACACAAGTATATAGGGGGACTCAAGGGTCACTTAATTGTTACACGAGTGTCACTCCATTCAGGTCACATATAAGACCCTCACATGTCCAATAACTTTCAATCCCAATTGGTTATACAAGAGTCACTCTTATCAAATCAGAGTCACTTTCATAAGGTGACCTTAGTGGAGGACTTCTCTCCCTACTCCCCGTGATAAAGATTATAGTCGGTCCAGAGAAAATAATGGACACCAGCGAGAAAAGTCTCAAAGGTATTTGAGAGGTGCATAAATTAATTTAAAAATCTTGCACGGCGTAGTTACAATAAAAATTGTTATAAAATCTTGTCTCTCTGGTTTTTTCGGACTTTACTAAAGATTGGATGTATTTTATGTTTTTAATATTTTCGGTAACTAAATAAAAATTTAAAAAAAGCAAAAACAATTTGGTTTTCACGTGTAATGGCGACATAAACAATGGCCGCCATAAATTTTATTGTACACATTGTAAGCTAAAAATAGAAAAAATAGGCCATGGTGTTTAAATTTGCATAGTTATTTAAAAACTTGATCTGCAAAGTTTTGTAAACAAAATAACTATAAAAAGGGGCTGTCAGAAATCGATCACGGAGTTCCTTTACAGCCAATCAATGTTTTTCTTACGAAAGTGAAACATCGGGTTATAACTTAGGCTTGATGAAAATAAATAGAAATGTAGCCTTAAACTCAACAAATTATTTTCAAGTTCTCTGGATCTGCAACTTGTATAGCATTGATTCTAAAAATATTAAATTTCTGAATTAATTTTAGGCTTAAGTTTTTAATAAAATTTTACCATTTATTATTTTTATGGTCCTAAATCTAAAAAAGCACATTTTTAGTCCATGTCAACAACATTACGGAAGGAATCTCGTCAACTCGCTGGTTTCCATTCCTCTAAACTACTGAGTGTCGTTGATATTGAGGTACTGGATATCAAAAAATGCATTTGCTATTTTATGACTATGACACAACTAATTGCACTTGGTGTCGTAAGACTGCAACAAATATAATTGCATCTGACATCTTAAGACTGCAACAAATATAATAGCACCTAATATCTTAAGACTGCAACACAACTAAATGCACCAGACAGACAGTCACACAACTAATTGCACCTGATACCTTAAGACTATGACACAACTAATTGAATCTGACATCTTAAGACATTCAAACAACTAATTGCGCCTAATATCTTAAGACTGCAACACAACCCCAGCATGGTAGATCTATACAGTTTAAAATCAATCGAACGAGATCGATTGTAAACCCAACAAGTGCTTGTTTAAACGGCAATGTCTTACAATGGCAATGATACAAACTGTTATAAACAAATGTACGCTGCTTGCAGTGAATTGAATTATTTATAATGGAGAAACATTTTTTTATGAGAAGCACAACCGTGTATGTTTTTCTTCATCGGTCAGCTCGCGATGAGAGCTTAATGACCTTGAAAAAACTAAGGTAGCCTTCAGAGCTTAGTGACCTTGAACAACTAAGGTAGCTGTCAGAGCGTATTGACCTAGGGAAAAAATACGCTGAGATTGAGGTCTGACCTTACTGACCTCGATGTAACTGTAGATGATATACCTAGAAACAAAAGGATATATATATATATATATATATATATATATATATATATATAGAGAGAGAGAGAGAGAGAGAGAGAGAGAGAGAGAGAGAGAGAGAGAGATAGAGAGAGGGAGAGAGAGAGAGAGAGAGAGTTCGATGTATCAAACACCGACATTTGAATATAGTCCATGATTAAAACTTCCATAAAGTGAATACTGACAGTTATTTTTTCTACTATGTTGATAGTTAAAAGATCTAGTCCTTTTCGTCTTACACAAACTCTCAAAAGTTACAAACGCGTGTGCTTCGAATCAGCTGAATAAGACGTTTTAAAACATATCTAAACAAACGTGAAGCTATTCAAAGTACTGACGTGCACATTTATTATTGATGATTTTTTTTCCCATGTCTTTAGTTATGCATGAAAAAAAAAACTGTTCAAGCGTACAAAGTTTAAACCAATAAAATCAATGTAGGAGGGTTGGCTCCCAGGAAGATACTTTGACCCAGTTCTTGTGTAATAATGCAGGTAACGTCTTCAGACTTCGATAGCTCTGGTTGGATTAGGGTGGGTGAATCGATCTGATCAGCCTTACTGTAGGTATTACAGTTTAAACGCAATCGCTTATCGGGCAGTTATTTTTTTTATCTACAAGGTAGAACAACTAATATGAAATGAATTATCTTGGTATGGCAAGTTCCTGTTTGCGATTAAAAAAAAAACATTTTCTTTTATACTGGAAAAAAGGGATATTTTAAATGTAGATAATGTAAGTATTTTAAATTTTATTTAATTTACATTTCAACGTTTTACTTAATTAAATATACAACGATGTTTTCTTTGTTGTTTTTTTCATCTTTATCATCTCTCTGGTTGAGCATATTGCTGACCACACTATCTCTTCATACGCCAAGGTCACAGAAACAAGTAAACTCTATTTCACTTGCCCCATAGAACTCAGTTTGAAAGAGAACTTTACTTTATTATCATCTCTCAGTGCCGATTGAGGCTTCAAAAAGTGTGAGCAATGCCATACATACTCTAGATCAGGGGTTCCCAACCTTTTTTACTCTAGAGCACATTCTTAAATACCGGTAGGATGGCGGGCACCACCTATTTTAAATCGACATACTCCTTCCCGTCACCCGGGGACAAAACTTTCGATTAGCACCCCCCCCCTCAAACTTTCGATTTGCACCCCCCTTAAACTTTCGATTTGCACCCCCCCCCTCAAACTTTCGATTTCCATCCACCCCCCCCTCCCCAAACTTTCGATTTCCATCCCCTTCAACCTTTCAATAATGTTTATATAAAAAATTCTGTCTCTGTCGAATAGTGAGAGGCGGGCACATACGAATCGTTCGGCGGGCGCCATTGCGCCCTCGGGCACAGGGTTGGGAACCCCTGCTCTAGATTAATCCCCTGCTCATGTAATACAACGAAGGCCACCCTCTTTAACATTTTTTCTTCGTTGATCTTTTCCATTTTTCTTTTGAAATCCTTGTTTTCTCTTGTCCTGTGGTATCTAACTAAAAACAATGCAACCTCTCTTGTTCTGAGAGTATAAACCAATATTTTAATTCAAGTTTATTTAAATTAAGTGTTTTTTTTATTAATAATGTTAAAACGTTATGTTCTGTATATACTCAATCATTCCTGAGCTTGCCTTTTAATTAGCTCAAAATTTAAGGTTTCTTTAAGTTTTCTTCGTACAAGTAAACATCCGTATCATTTATTAATTAGGTCAATCTCGTGAGTTAATTTATTTAATATACTAAACTGCAATAATAATTACTACATATATGTTTGAAATAAGTTATTACTATCAATCCCAAATACTGCATAATGTATCTACGGAAGTAATATGTTAGACGTAATTCGTGAAACACTGATATAAATGTGACCAAATACAATTAAATGCTGATCAAACGTCGAGTGTATAGATTACATAATGATATAGACAAACACGACTAAATAGATTCACTAACGACACTGACACGACTATATATACAAACTAACGTTTGATGTTTGGATAACATGGACATGTTTTGATTGTATTGAAAGTACTAAAATAGAAATAGCTGCATATAAATGACTGCATATGTCAAATACTGACAAAGAAATTATTGCATATATCAAATGCTGAAATAGAAATATTTGCACAGGTCAAATAGACATAGATATAGTTGCATAGGTCAAACATTTACGTAAAAATGACTGCCTCTATTAAATACCGAAAGTAAAAAAAGTGACAAAATACTGACAGACAATAACTAAAAAAAACCTCATACAAAACCTACACAATTATTGAACAGCTAGAAAGTAACACACCTGCACCGTTGAACATAAAACTCCAATACCCGACTGAACCGTATTATATGTACGTGTTTATAAAAACTTTGATCTTATATTGTAAATCAATGAAAGAATACCCGGCATTGACGAGTTGAAAAGATCTAGAACACCGCTGAATGAAATATTAATGTTAGCCTGACTAAATGGAAATTCATTCGTGCTTTCCTTTCATTTTAATGCTTAGACTATGTTAACATATATTGGCAGCCATAACAAACAAGTTCATATGATATTTGTAAATATCCTGTATGTGTTTCACACTCACTGGGTTGTGTGTGTGAGGTTTTGATTGCTCCGGGTCAATATTTTTTTATAAACTCTCTTATTTTAAAAAACAAATCTCTTTTTGAGTGATTTACAATAAAACATGTAAAGGTTGAAATACGGATTTGAAGAAGAAAAAAATATTCATACATTTACAATAACTGTATAATAGGAAGATGTTTCACTTGTTAGAAGGGGTCGGCGTGGTCGAGTCAGTAAAGCTCATGTTTTCTAATCCGAAAAGTCTCGAGTTCAAACCCTCGGGCAGATGAGGCTCTTTAGCTGGGGACAGTCACTCTTCTAGGAAAGACAGCTTCAAAAATAAAACAACTGCTGCCTTGTAGTTTGTTCTTGGTTGGACAAAGGCTATGGAAGCAAATCCAAAAAGAAAAGCAGGCTGAAATCGGAGTCAATGGCCTCAATGACGCATAACCAGTTGACACGTAATCCTTAATTGTGATGGAAGCATGGTCGAGTCGGCAAAGCTCATGGTTGATAAATTCGAAAAAAGTCTCGAGTTCAAACCCTCTGGCAGATAAGGCTCGATCCCTCCCAACACTAAAAATTAAGCACGAAGAAGAAGAAGAACAAAGTTGCTTAAAACCAATTAAACAAGGAAAAATTAAATTTTACCCACTATCAAAAACTATTTAATGTTGATTTCAGAATTTAGGAGACTGCAATATGCCTTCGTGTTTTTCAAGTGTTAACAACAAAACATATCCTGGCAATGAGGTATTTTCCTTCGTTGTACGTTGTTTTCTGTTTGCGTTCTATGTTTGTCTGTTTGAAACAGTAACGAAAAATAGTGTCTGATCTTTAAAGAATTTTTTAATGATTGTTTTTTTTTCTCACTGGCTATTTTTATTTTAGCATTTTCGCCGTAGGTATTGTAGAATGAAGGTCAAAGTTGAATCCTTTTAATCTTCAAATAATAAAAACCACAGCGCGTAATAACTTTAAAAATACAATTGATCAAGTGTTTTAATAGAAGTGTTTGTTCGTTTAAAATGAAAACTGGTTTTTACAATAATTGACTTCTATTACAGAGTGAAACAAGTAATGGACGACTTAGATCAACATCAAACGCAAACGATGGGACGGAAAATGCTGTTCCTACAACTAAGTATATAAGTCTAAGAGACCTTTATAGAATTCTTACTGAATAGTCTAGTTCTTTTGTATCTTATAATGGTTTTTTTGTATACATATGTTGTGTTACTTATTCGACTGAATCAATAAATGCAATAAAAAAATCCATATTTTACAAATGGGTTAACTAATATTTGGAGAAAACAGTAACAATTTTTACATAGATATTTTGAAATGTGTTTTGGTTAGAATAAAATATACAATACCTAGTTATACTATATGCGTGTGTTCAAGCGAGTTTATATTTTGTCTATCCAAATGGTTCTTAACCTAGGTTCAATCGAATCCTAGGTGTTTGTGAGTCTTTCTCAGGGGTTCGGCAGAGGTCAAGACACACACCCGACTCATATGACTCGCGGCCAATTACAGTTCAAATACGACAGTATAACATCGTAAAAAATTTCGCTAGAACGAAATAACGCGTTTAGATATCTTAATGTTTCTATATCGTCGAACACGACACGTATACTTCAAGAATCGTGTCAACGCCACCTATACAGGCGCACGTTGATCGTGTATTTTGGTGCTGTGACGAAATTCTTAATTGTATATCGTCTGCCCCGTCGTCAACTTGTGATCGTCTTGATGGTGCTTCGTGTGATCACTTGATTAATCTTTTAATCCCTTCATACGAAATAAGTCTAGCGAAAAAAAAAGAAAGTGGCCGATCGAATATGATCGGGTTTACATCGGGTTCAATATGGGTTTACATGTATAACGAAACTTAATAGAAGTCAGAATCTATACTGCATGATATGCAATGCAACATGAGCTATTGTAGTCTAGCATCGGTAAAACTAAGAAAACACTTTCTAAGCTGCGTGGAGATGGAATATATACGAACACAACACATATTTTATTTTTCCTACTAATAAGTGTTCGTTAAATTAATGTACTTACAAAGCTGGTGTTTTTCTTTACCTTCAAAGACAAGTGCATGCATCCAAAACTATTGTTACAATAAAACTTTCAATTATGTTTCTTTTTAAATGTAATGCAGGGTTTTATTTTTATCCAGATTCAACTTTCACTTACATATCAACATTTGTGTTCCTATATCTTTATTTACCCTATAGTGGACGAAGTCAGCAAACAATGACACTACAGCCGAAATCTTACGGAGAGATTGCATTTACATTACACGGCAAGAAAACGGCAAAAGTGAGTGAAAATTTCTTAACAGCTACATTGTTATATTGTTAACGATGCAATATATTTGCCGTTTAATAAATGTTATAGTACGCTTGTGTTTGCACAACCGATTTTAAATTAAAATGTGTTACTTATGGTAATGGTAATACGTGCATGTTTACTTAGTTATTGTGATACAAAAGGCAGTCATTACAAAGCTACACTTAACTATCTACTAGGTCCATTATAGAATGATGATATTATTATGTATACACTTAACATATGTTTATCAACAACACTACTTATATTTTAACTATATTTATTATTCTTTAAATTTAAATTTTAAATTTTAAACTACTTATTTGTAACTATATTTATCACTGTTAGTAACGTGTGTTTTAAATAGCAAAATATCATATTTATTACCTATAGTGATGCAAATTTTTAGTAGCAAAGCTACTGTTAGTGATGTATAGTAAAAATGATAAAACAACTCACATCGAAAACCTCGTGCTTTCTATTTCAGTTCATCCGCGTTGATTCTAAAACAGATGTGTCAGAAATAAAAGACTACATGGTGTCCAAATGGGATATGACGAGACCTGACCTGTTGATATCTGTGACAGGCGGAGCTGAACCCATGTCTTTAAAGTCAGGTCTAAGAAACGCTTTCAGGCGAGGGTTGATGAAAGCTGCAGAAAGCACGAGTAGGTTTTAATAAAGGTTTATGGGAGCTGCATATAATTAAATTTATAAAACTTCAGCTTTTGAATAATAGGAAGTACTAGATAAATCTAATAATTCCCCTCAACATTTAGCAGATTTTATGTTTTCAAACTTATTTTGTTGCTTTTTATTTTATCGTATATTGTAATCATGCAAATCTCGACGTTTCGCACCTTCATGACTAATCAGCATTTGATGATCTAAACCAGAGGTCTCCAAACTACGGCCCGTGGGCCGAATGCGGCCCGCGAGGCCCTCTCATCCGGCCCGTGGGGATCATTTTGTTCACGGAAAAATCATTTGCTGGTGATGGCTGAGGAACTTTGCCCAGAAAAATCAAAGACATGCCTGGAAGAAACTGGCCCCCGAACTGAAATTTGATAGTTAATGCGGCCCTCGGACTGAATAGTTTGGAGACCCCTTATCTAAACCATATATGGACTTAATTGCAATCTAAAGATTACAAGTCTATACTAAAGGTTTCAACTTCTAATGCTTTTCGGTCCATTTCTTACGGTCAATTTGTTTCGGTAATACAACAAGATTTTGGCTTATAAGTGTGATGTTGTTGATTCAGACGCCTGGATCCTGACAGCCGGTACACACGCTGGGGTGATGAAACATGTAGGGGAGGCTGTGGAACAGTTCAGTCTTACAGCAGAGAAAGACTTCGTCGCCATTGGGATAGCGCCATGGGGTCGTGTCAAACATAGGGATCAATTAGAAAACGTAAGAATTTCTATGAAAAATGTTGAGTTTACATGTTTTCAAAAATATTTTACATTTCGACCCAATAACCAACATATATATATATATATATATATATATATATATATATATATATATATATATATATATATATATATATATATATATATATATATATATATATATATATATATATATGTATATGTATATGTATATATATGTATGTATGTATATATATATATATATATATATATATATATATATATATATATATATATATATATATATATATATATACCTACATATACATATTTATATTTATATAATATACAGATACAATATATATATATATATATATATATATATATATATATATATATATATATATATATATATATATATACCTACATATACATATTTATATTTATATCATATATAGATACAAGGCACTACTATATCATACGAAATACTGGATGGTAAATCAATAGAATCAAAACCTGAAAGCTATCTCGACCCCAACCATACACATTTCATACTTGTTGATGACGGTAGGGAAGATTATGGGGGAGAAATTGAACTGAGGTCTAAATTTGAGAGACATATATCGCAATGGAAAAGTAAATACTGGACGGGTAAGCATGGATCAAGCTTTGTAAAAAAAATTATCTCTAAATATTTCTACATATGATCAGTATAGAAAACCGAGGCCTGATATTTATTGGTTACAGAATATAATTGACTATTTTAATGTACATAACATTGTGAAATGATTTTTAAATATTTTTTTCTTATGAAAAGAACTAAACTGTAGATTATAAAAGAGAAATAATATTGGTAAAAAGTTCGATTATTCATTTAAAATCCTTGTTATCTCAACAACATGTTGGTGACATGAGATTTGTAGATAGTAATCGCATGACTACGTCATCTAAATAATAACCACTGTCATACTTGTATGGATTTCCATTGTAAAGTTTAATGAAGAAGCCAAAACAACTGAACTCAAGAACAGACGATTTGCAGACAGTAATGATTTGTGTTCTTACGTCATTATTGGGTCTCCAATAAATTATCCACTGAAAATCCATACACGTATGGCGGTTGTCATTTTTTCTTTTTTCTTTTTCTACACAACACAAATTTATCGCCGTGTCACCTATTTCATTACACTCGCACATGTAATTTTTGTTATATCTAATGTAGAAGATTACCCAAACGTGCCCGTATGTTTACTTGTGTTAAATGGAGGTCCGGGTACGTTAGACACGGTCAAGAACGGATTAGCGCTTCAAACTCCAACTATTGTCATAAAGGTAATTCAAAAGTTCTTTAATATTTTTATTATTGTCTGGAAACACAGTGAGGGTGAGGCCTGTATAGTTAGACTACATGTACGTAGTTCGTAAAATAAAAATAAAATTATATTTGGCCTTAACCCAACAATTAATCTATTTCAGGGATCAGGAAGAATGGCTGATATATTGGCTGACGTTGCTGCTGAAATGAAAGAAAGAAATCAAAAGTAATAAACTAATTTCAATTTTTTTACAAAGAGCATGAGTTAGAGTTTTAAAAAAATAAAAAGTGTCGATAAATGTAATTATCTTAAAGTAAGTTTAAGTTGATTGTTATCCAAATAATATACTCCCTATATCATATTTTTTTAAAATTTAGATTCTCTTATGCTTAAATTTCATACAAAATTAGTTTTTATGAAAAGATTATTTTCTTAGTAAAAACAACAGAACAAAAACCAGTGGGCTTGGGTTTTGAGATGAGAAAAGATTTATGGTAATTTATATAATTTTGATGGAGAAATTGCTACGCGATAGGAACAATTAGTCATTTGAAGCAATGTTACAGAAAATAATATATAAACTAGTTTGTCATGGTATCTTGGTCTTAGTTATTCTACATATACGCAAAATTATTTGAAAAGTAATAATGTAAAATAATTTCTATCAATTTTAACGAAATTTTTAAGTAAACTAAACCGATATTTCGTATATTCACCATACGATAAGAATAATAATTTTATTCGATTTTCGTTACTAAATCCCTACAAAAAGGCTGAAACCAAATGAACTAGATGAAATCTTTAGAAGACATGACAAAGACTTTGAAAGCAAATGGTTTAAACAAAAAGACTTAGATGAAATCAAACTTAAAAAGCTTGAAAGCATTCGAGAGAATGTCAGCGATTGCTGTAAAAACAAGGAGCTTTTTTCTGTCTACGAGCTAAAATCATATAGCTCGGAAGATGACCTTGACTCAGCAATACTTCGGTCAATTCTAAAAGGTTGGTCGTATTTTAAGCTTCCTTACCTCCTTGTTTTTTAAATATTTTTGAAAAGTAATTGCATGTTATAACTTTTTAGGTCACGCAAATGTTTCGTTTTAATAACAAAAATATGCTTTTTCACTGATGACATTATTTGTATATTTATAATTATATCAATCATATTTATTTTAGATAACAGCAAGGGAAAAAACACAAATAAACTACTCTTGGCCTTAATATGGGACAGATTCGAAATGGTGGAATCTTACATAGCCGAGAGTGCTAAAACAAGTCCGGTATGTTTCTTTAAATTATCCATGCATGCATATCATATACCATCTCTCTCTCCCCCCCCCTCTCTCTCTCTCTTTATACATATATATATATATATATATATATATTTATACATATACATATATATATATATATATTTATATATATATTTATATATATATATATATATATATATATATATATATATATATATATATATATATATATATATATATATATATATATATATATGCGTTATATACATTCTATTCTCGATCAACCCTTTTCACTTTACTTTCCAGGACGATGCTATCTTCGACGATTTGATGAAATATGCAATAAAAAAGAATCGGCTTGAGTTTGTGGAGCAGTTTTTGAACAACGATAACATTAACCTAGAAAAGCTTATCAAAAAAGAAACATTAGCTAAATTGTATCAAGAGGTAATCAAATACGTTTTTGTTCAAACAGTTGTCTCTACATGAATTTGAATGGTAATGATGGAAGCGGGAGGCTAAGATGTGTGTATCAATGCGATGAAAGCAAGGGAGCGTGGGTCAAAATGTGTGACGTAGCATATATTTGTAACTTCTACTAATTTGTAAAAAATAATTCTAACGTGAGGTTGGCAAAAATTCAACAGTTTTACAATAAAGACTTTTAAGTAAATCTCCCGAAAAATAAATGGCACGTAATTCATGAATGGTTTGCTATGAATAAAAAGAGTGTGCTTAATTGAATAATTCAAATGTATTTTTAGTTTCTATTAATATTACACATTTTTAGCGCAATTTCGATTCTGGAGAATTGCGATTATTAACTCGACATTTCTGGGAATGGATGTCCGCAGCTTTAAGTCGTATCTCCTCCTCAACGAAGCAATATCGAGGACTAGTTCCAAAAGCAAATATGTTAAGCAAGTTCAGAGGATGAGTGTGGGCCAAAAAAATTCCCGGAATCCCTTCCTGGATTTCCCGGAAAAGCAAAAAAAACTCGAAAAAAAATGCAGTTTTTGGCCCATATCTCGGCAACCAGACCACTTAGCGACTTGAAACATTTACCAATCGATTCCTGCCATAATTTAGAACAATATTGCCGAAGAAAGTTTTCAAAAATATCCCTTTGTTTGGTCACATAAAATTTATTTCTTCTAGACCTAATTTGTATTGGCTAAGATTACTAAGAATATACAAATATAGCACAACGGCTGAGGCAGTCGCTAGTGAGAGGTAACGTCTACACACGCTGCCATTGGCCAGACTCGCTCAGATCTCGCGAGTGGGCGGGGACTAGATCTGCTCGTGTGGTTTAAACTGAGCATCGTGTAGGAGTTTATATTTATAGGATGATTTACTTATTAACATAAGGAAATTGCGCTTAAATTGTCACTAGACTTTTTATTAACTTGTTTTTTATTTTGTCTGTTCTATTTTTAGGAGGCATCGTCAAAGAAAGCAGATGGGAGAAAAGAAACTTCAAAGACGCCAGAAGTATTATTTGTTAAGACATTTTTAATTTCCTAGTACATTTTTTTAATAATCATTATAATCATCATTAATATGTTAAAGCTATTTTAGTAATAAGATCAAGTTAAATAAAGCGGAAGTAATCTCCACTAAACTTTCTCGAATAGTCTTTTAAACACTACGGGGGACGGCAACTCGGGATTTAGGCATGATTTTAATCCAGTTTACTTAAACTTTTAAAAATAGAATAGAATCTCGTAAAAAAAAAGAACTGCGCACCAAGTGAATGGCAAATAAGATCTGTATAATAGTGCGGAATATTAGTACTTTATAAATTCATATGATTTTTTTGAGAAATCGGAAATAGCGTAAATAACTACATCCGGTCAACGGAAATTACTCAAACTTTGTTTGAAGGTGGAAAATTTGATCTTTCACTTATTTGTAAAATTTCATTTATCTATCTGAAATAGTATTCAAGTTATAGGCTCTTGAAAAATTGAAAGTAGAATAAGTCCCACTTCCAGTTACCGGAAATTGCCGAAAAGTCGATACAGTACTACAAATTTGATATAATACTTATATATGAAACTTAATTAAGCTAGCTGTAACAGTACTCAAGTTATCGTGTTCACAGACACACATACATACACACACACACACACAGACATACTGACATAATTGCAAAACCCAGTTTTTCCGACTCTATTACGCATAAAACGACTATATTTTGATTAATCTGGATTTATTATTTTTGCCTGTTTAAAATAAGTCCCCTATACTCCGTATATGATAAAGTACTGAGGTGTAAAAAGTTGAAAACTGTCAAAATTTCATGTGATTTTTGTGCGCGATTACAATACTTCCTGTATACTCTTTATACGAGAAAATAAAAAAAAATGGTGGATTTTTTTTTTTTTTTGCATTCTTATTTTTGTTTTCACTATATAAGCAGATGCATATTGTCAGTTATATTCAGTGATTGTTTTTATCCTATGTTATTAGGCTTTGATGAAATTTTAGCACGATTATAATAATCTGTTGAAGTGTCCAATCTTTTAAAATATGTGTTTTTTTCACAATGATTCTCCATTGCAAAGTGTGATTTTAAATTATAAGCTAACATCGCAGTTAATTGTGTATAACTTTTCTTCCGTTTTGTCATTAGGAAGATTTGAATAAATACCAAAGTGATCTAAAGAAATATATGGGAGACTACTATCAGATACCTGATTTAAAAACTGCGTCTAAAGGTGAGCAATGAATTGGATTTTCATGAGTTTGAGAATGTCGATCGTTAAAGCTAAAAGTTTGACACAATTGTAGTTAAAGCATTCCTGTGCTGCATAACGTTTTGTATTAATTGTAAGATGATTAAAAACTCAGTAAAAGACTCTGCCATTTTTTTAGATTAGGTTATTAGATGTAGATGGCGTCTTTCTGCTTAAAAATCTGCTAAATTAACGTAAATTGCTAACTCATTATCGCTAAACCAAAATGATTTACTCTACAGAAGCTGCGGTTTCTGTTTTTACTATTTAATTTGTTTGTATACCATTGTAAAGTTATATTTTGTCCAAAACTACCTTATGTGATGGAGATATTTCGCCATTGAATTGTTAATAATCCATATTATTTTCAGATCCATTCTATGATCTTTTTATTTGGGCAGTTCTTAAAAATTATTTTGAACTTTCAAAAGTGTTCCTAAAGCACTCAAACGTATGTACACTTTATATTAGATGCTAACATTAAGTAGTTTAAATAAAAAACAAGTTTATATTCATTCATTAATTGCTCTGATAATGGTTATTAAAATTTTGGTTTTAAGAATACAAGATGGCAATGTTACCATACAAAGTTATTTTACAAAATAACATAGACATATATTGCTGATTTAATTATAAATTTAGGTTAAACACAAACTTAAAAAAATGTCTATAGATAACTTGTTTTAAGGGGATAGGCTCCAGTAAAAAAAATGTAATACTAGAGAGAAAGCGCTGTTTCTCTACAGCCTTTTAAGGATACATCCGCATATGTGTTTAACACAAGTTTCGGGAATTTTCGGGCATTAAAAGTAGTGTTTTTAACGGATCTACAATTTGAAAATTCATAAAAAATTAGTTTGTATATATGCACTTAAAATGTTTAGCTGATTACCCCAAAATATGGAAGAAGATTATGAAGTCGTTATTTCTGGGGCTTGAAATAGAATATTTTATGAATGTTGAAAATCATACGAATGGGTTATTTTTTTCAAGATGGCCGCCGTTGTCACAGTTACCAAGATTTTTCCCACCAATTGTTTTTATGGAAACATGCAGATGTACCTTTAAAAAGCTGTAGAGAAAGAATTAGTTCCTAACGAGTTTTAAAAAGGTTTTTTTTTTACCGGAGCCTACCCCCTTAATTTGTTTCAGGAATCCTCAATTTCGGCGTGTTTATTTGCATCCGATGTTCTATCTAAGCGTTCATCTAAATCAAAGGATAGATCTAAGGAAGAAATAGAAAAGAGTGCTGAGTATGGAATTTACAAATACGATTTTTACCATCTTTTCAAAATATATTTACAGAGTTGAACAAACTTATCCTGTAACATTTCTTAAAAGTTAAATTTTCAACTGTCATCTCGATTTACATCCAACTCAAAAGGATTAAAAATTGTAAATTAAACGACTCGAATTAATAGCACTGTATAATTTACTTAAGTAGTAGCATCGTAATACTTTATGTTACTTTGTACGAACCAGAGCCTACAAGCAACTCTCCATAGACCTGCTAAAGCAATGCTACTCGTCCAACCGTCAGAAGACCCACGACATTTTGTGTATGGTTAGACCAGAGTGGGGTAACACGTCCTGCATGTTCATGGCTGCGAGGTCTGAGAACAAGTTGTTCATAGCAGAGCCGGCGTGTCAGGATCTCATCAAAAAAGTCTGGAGGGGCTTAAGCAACAGCGGAGACACAAATGTAAGTCTCAAGATGGCAGGCCTAATATTTTTACCGTGTAAAACTAATTTAAAATATATATATATATATATATATATATATATATATATATATATATATATATATATATATATATATATATATATATATATTGTATTATATATATATATATATATATTGTATATTATATATATATATATATATTGTATATTATATATATATATATATATACATATATATATATATATATATATATATATATATATATATATATATATATATATATATATATATATATATATATATATATATATATATATTGGATGTTTGTGTTGATATATTGACTAAAGTACTAAAATCATAAAACAAACTTCCAAAATATCTTCTATATACTACCAGAACTCAAGTTTGTTTACATGTTTGAATATTTTTTTTGTTTGTTTGTCCGTATGGCTACAGGATATCTGCACTATGTGTAGAGCTGTAAAATAGTAATTAGGTAGAGAACAATTTTTGTTTTTAGACAGACTGTTAATCACAAATTAATTTAAGGACGTTAATTCATTTATTGATTTATTCATTGGTAGATTAACCACATTAATTTTAAAAGTTCAGATCAATGGCTTTACTTAGAGTAAATAGTGACGTCAAATGATTTATTTACTTTTTACAACATTAATGGCTGCTTCCATACAAAATTGTGTTGCCCATTCAGATCTTTAACACGTTATATAGCTAATTTTCTGTCGGCTTTAGCTTTAACGATGCGCCCGTTTGCTATTTTTATAAGGTTTAACACTATTATCAATGTTTTAACAGTTCTTTTTATTTTATTATATAATACATTTCTCTAGATCTAGATCTACAGATCAGCTGTCGAAGGAAGAAAAAGTTCTAGATCTAGATCAAGGTCACTAGACTATAATCCTAGATCTAAACTTAATGTAAATTATCTAGAATAAAGATCTAGAATCTATTTCAGGCCCTAATTATTTTATATAAATCTTTGTTTATCTTCAATGATCAACTAATTTTATACGCATTGGATTTATCTATCTAGGTTCTAGATCTAGATCTAAAGTTACGGCAAAAACTAGAATTTAGTCTCAACGTAAATTCTACATCTAGATCTAGACTTAACGTAAATTCTACATCTAGAATTTAGAACTAGAATCTAAATGTTAAACTTATTTCAGGCCTTAATTATTTTATATATATCTTAGTTTGTTTAGCTATGGAATTTGATAATTTGGGATATAGGCCCTAATTAAATTTAAAATAATAGGACCTATTCGCCTAACTGGTTTCTTACTTTGCAGTACATTATAGGACTAATTCTACAGTGGTTAGTCAGTGCCCCTATATCTAAGATGGTAGCGTAATTGCTACCATGCGGGTGGTACGGGTTCGAGACACATCACGACAAAGCTTTTTTTTTCAATTTTTTGTTTTTTAAACGTGAATGACGAAGTTGCCTATCGGGACCTCGCGGGACACAGGGCAGGTCAAATAGAGTTCACCTGCTTCTTTGTCCTCGGCATATGAAGGGATAGTGTGGTCAGAGACATGTTCGACCGGAATCGTTTTTTTAAACGATAAAAACATGTTCTCTGAGACTTGGCGGGACACTGAGCAGGTGAAGTAGAGTTGAGTAGGTCACCTGTGACGTCAGTATATGAAGGGGTAGTGTGGTCATACCCATGCTCAGCAGAAATCGGTGTTTTTAAAAGATTAAAAAAACGTCTTTTTAAATGTGGGGTCTGGTTATTTTGTGATGATAAGTGACAGACGTGATGTTATTTATGGCAGACCGCCGAAACCCACAGTGATCTAACTAGATAACAGGTAGTCTAGAAATACATAAATGTATGTGGCTTTTGCTGCATTGTAATTTGCCAATTTAATTCCAATTAAACAACGTTTGTTTTAGAATAAACGATGTAAAATATATCAATTTATTAATAATTATGTTGCATTTATGTATTAATAATGTTTGTAATTTTTTGTTGTATATAGTTAGGCCTATATAGTTATTTTTCGTGCATTTGTTGACTTTAAATTCGGTTAAATAAGCACTTTTTTATGTTTACAATTGCAGAAGAATAGGCCTAAATATGAAATCGTGTCTCACTTGTAAGTGTAAAATATATCCTTGTAGCTTAGCACTTTGTAAACTCTTTGGTTGTCGTTTGATTACATTTTATCATGTTACTTAGAATATTTTTTCGTTCACATGCTAAAATATATTTTCTGTTAAAGGTTTCATTTTTTTTCAGTTGTAAATCTGCAAGATTCAAGTTCGCAATGAACATAGTGCGTGGTGAACCATTGATAACGTATTTGATTGGACACTTATCATTTTTCAAGATTTTATCTTTCTTGAGTCCTTTGTCTGTCGTACTTCTGTCTTTAGTCATAACGATGCAAAACAATTTCCGAACACAATTTTATCAACTTTGAAACATAATTAAAAAACCCTTAATTATGCAATCTGACCAAAAAATTTACGTAATTAGTTGTTTAATTTATTTTGCTGAAAACTAGATTAATTAATGATTGCTGTATAAGGTAATAGTTTTCTGAAATATATAATACAGCTATCAACGCTTTTGTTTATTGTTATTTAATAAACGGCGAAAGAACATACTTAAAAAACATTTCATTTTTCTCTATTTAGTGTACATTACCGTCAAAGAGATGTAGTGTTAGGTTTAGGGGTTGGGGTTACGGTTACTGTTAGGGTTAAGGGTTAAGGGGTTAGGTATTGTTTAGCGTTAGGACTAAATATTTTCTTATGTTCGTTTTGCATTTTTTTTGTTCATTTTTTGACTGATTGTTGTTTGAAGGGGTAGGCTCCGGACAAAAACGGGAAATTAAACTTTTTAATTAATAAGCCTTTTTTTATTTATTTGTGTATGTATAAGTTAGTGTACATAAGGCAAAATATTTGCTTGTACCAGGGACTCTTCTGAAAATATGGTTGCCATGGAAACGGCGGCCATCTTGGAAAAACTACCTTTTGTGGAGTTCTAAAATTTTATAAAGTAACATATAAACCGCCCCTATAATCATTAGTTCTTCTTGTACTAACACCAGTAGAGTCAGCTGGCTAGTATTTGTAAACGAAAAACAGCTTGAAATATTTTTTCAAATAAAAAAAATGTATGGTAAAATTCCATTGAATTTTGCATTAATTTTAATGGAATTTCACCACACCACATTTTTAAACATTAAAAAAAATATTTCTAGAGTGTTTTCTGTTACAAAAACTAGCCAGTTCACTCAATTAGTCTTAGTACAAAAAGGATAAATGGTTAGATGGCCGATATATATGTTAGTTAAAATTTTAGAACACCAGAAAAGGATTTTTTTTTCAAGATTGCTGCCGTTGCCATAGCAAACATATTTTCAAAAGAGTGTCTGATGCATGAAAACATTTTCCTTTAATTACCCTAGCTTAGATATACACAAATTAATCAATAAAACGTTTAAATTAAGAAGTTGTTTTTTTTCTGGAGCCTACCCCTTTAAGACATTTCCAACCTGGCTATTTCACACTTTGCCTAAACAGTTCTTGGCGATCTGTATAATGCCATTTTATGTTATGCCTGGGAAAAGTGAAATAATTTTGTCTAAAAGCGACATTTATTGATACTCCATTAAATAAAAGAAACAATAAAAAGTATCTTTTTTAATACTATTATTTATTTTCATTTTATCAAAAACTGATGTAACTTTAATTAAAGTCAGATTTTATACATATTCAAGTCAAGCTTTAATTGTCCGAAATCCAGTAGTGCGAACTATAATCGTTTATTTTTTTTATTCAATATAAACATTGAGCGTTAATTTCTCGTTATTTAAAACTTTAATTTAACAACTGTTTAAAATTAATATTTTCGAACTCTACTAAATTGTATATTCATGCATTTTAATGTTAAGTTCTTGAAAGCTAATTCTCAAGGCAAATTTAGTCGGAGATTTTAAAGTAACACTTTAGAGTTTGTTACAAACCTTGATCCTATTATGTATTTACATCTCATCCGTAACACCAACACTGATTTAACACTACCCACTCTAACTCATTGGCAATTTAGCGATTCATTTAAGCAAATATTTGTATTTTTCAGTTTTCCTACGCGTTCTTTCTGGTTCTGTTCAGCTATATTCTAGTGGTGGAGCTATCACAAAACTTTCATTGGACGGAGGCCGTTCTTTTAACCTGGATCATTGCGTTTGCATTTGAAGAGTTGGCTCAGGTAAGTTATGTTTTGTAACTGTAAAAAAATGACAAATTTATTATTTATCACTATTTATACGTAATATAATTACATAGCAGTCTGTTCAAAAGGGATTTTTTATTTTATTGCTTTAAAAAATTCATGAAAGTCCATTGTGTTTTTTTCTATTTATGTTTTATTTAAAAAAGATTTACTTCAAGTATTTTGATAAGCAAACAAAAACTAAAATCTTTAGGCGCGTTTTTATTTGTTTTTATTTGGTCATACAGTATATTACAAAATTTTATTACACAAATATATTGATCAAATTCCTCAGTGTCTGGAGATAGAAGCAGCTGGGTATCTCTCAATGCTAAGCCTCTACATAAAGAATGGTTGGAATAAGATGGACCTCTTTGCGCTGTTTTTGTTCATAGTTGGCTTAGTTCTGAGAATCGTTGGACGTAACCATGGCGATGTAATGGCGGCGGCTCGCATCGTGCTTAGCCTCGATTTGATCTTGTATTTTTTTGGTGTTCTGCACATGTACACGGTGCTTGAGAGAGTGGGGCCCAAGATCGTTATGATAAAGAAAATGGTTTGTTTTCTCTGTTGTTATGTTATACCTTAAATTTAGAACTTGTGCATATTTCTTATATCGCTAATTTATACTAGTGATGACTTACATATATTTTAAAGAATCTCACAACTTTTTAATGTTTTTTCACAATATGATATGCTTAAATATCTAAAAAAAAACCTCTGACAATAAAATTATGTATACGATGTCGTGGTAATAGTAGCAATTATAATAATATATTGTTTAAAAGCAAACTGTTTAATGCTTTTTCTAACAGGTAGTACAAGATCTGCTGTTATTTATAGCAATTCTCGCGGTATTTGTGGTCTCATACGCCATCGCATCAGAGGCCATATTGTACCCAAACACAGAATTGACGTGGAGACTTTTGTTCCAATTGCCTCGTCGAGCCTACTGGAACATCTACGGGGAGCTATTTTTAGATGACATCGAAGGTAATGGAGAACTCGTTGTAAGCTAGTACAAAATTCTGTCAGCGTCAATCAAGCGAAAGATGGGGTTACGACAGGCCTGTAGTATTCATTTATGATTGTAAACTGAGTTTTATAAGAAATGACGACAACTGTGCTATTCACTGAATACTGAACACTAACATCATTGTAATTGTCGGATGTGTAAAACCACCATTTCAATTAATTGAAAATTGAAATTTTATATTAAGGAATAAAAACAAATATAACAGAATAACAGAATTTAAAAAAAAAAACTTTATTAGAAGGAAAATGTATTTTTTTAAAGTTGTAGAAAGTTTCTATTAGAAAAATCACTTTTATATATATATAAATATAAATATATATATATATATATATATATATATATATATATATATATATATATATATATATATATATATATATATATATATATATATATATATATATATATATATAGATATAGATATATATATATATATATATATATATATATGTGTTTGTACTTTTGTACTTTAATGAATGTATACGTGTTTTTTTACTTAGTATTCGCATTTGTTAAAATATAACTTAACTTTTTATGAGCTTGCACCATATTTAAAAGCGATTATGTTTTATCAAATAAACAGTTTTAATTTTTTTTCCAAATTATTTAACACCACCCAATTGCGCAGGACAAAAAGACTGCACCAACAACGCCTCCTCGTACAAGGACTACAACAACTTGAGGTGTCCATCAGAATCTGGACGCTACGTTGTGCCCATATTGATGGGGTTCTACATGATCTTGACCAACGTCCTTCTCCTCAACTTGCTCATTGCTATGTTCAGGTAACTGAGCTACTTCCTCATTATCCACACGTTGATATTCACAGAGAAACATACTATATTAAGGTGACCGGAAAGATTCACAACGGAAAACTGCGCAACGGAAAACCGAAGCACAAAAAAGTGCGCAACTGCATTTGTGTTTTCTTATATCGAGCATTTATAGAAATTAACAAAAAATTACTGTGTAGATTGTAGCATAATGAAACACATTTTCTCGAAATATTAGAGTGCTTAAGTATAATTAGTTTGCATTGGCGTATTTTTCTAAATGCGCAGATTTCCGTTTCGCAGTTTTCCTATGGCGCATTTTTCTGGGAACCACTATATTAACCCGATAGTTTCGAGTTTGAATCAGGGTTCAAGCTAGTAGAACGTCTGTGAGTCAACCCAACTCTGATGGGTACCTAACTCATGATAGGGAAAGTAAAGGCGGCAGGGCATAGTGCTAGCCTCATTATCCCTTTTTATGCCGAGGTCAAGAAACATATGAACTCCTCTTCATCTGCGCGAAGGATCGTTAGGTCTAAATAAGAATCTTTACTTTTTTTTTACTATATTACAACCTAACTGAAACAAGTTATCAAGTTTAATATTCAAGCACCGAATTTTTTTACAGCTACACTTTCAAAGAAGTAGAAGAGAAGACGAAAAACCATGCCAGTTTTCAGAAGTTTAATATCGTCTTGGAGTATGCCCAGCGACCTATTTTACCTACACCGTTAACCATACCCTTCACAGTAATCCAGATTGTACGCAGTATTTATATGAAGTGCGGAAAAGTAGAGAAAAAGTCCACTGAATTTAGTAAGTCACAACTCACAAACTCTACATGTTTTTACACACAAACAAAATACTACAGTATTAGGAAGGAAAGATTGTGTAGAGAGTGATACGATAATATAAAGAGATTTCTCAACTTTTAAACACACCAAAAACTTATTACCTTTGTAAACAGCTTATTTACATTTCCTAATAAGTAAACACCAAACCCACATCTTTAACGCGACAGTATGTCCTAGTTGCACCATTCTTACGTTTGTTTTCATTTTTGCTATCCCGCTGAATGACCTTCACATTCGTGCATTAGGCCGCACCTATTCAAGCCCAGACGAGCTCACTGAACAAAGAAAACTCATCCAATGGGAGAACGCTATAATCACAACATACTTCGACACGGCTCAAAGGAAGGAGGATGTTAAAGGGATTTCCCGAAAAGATTTTGAAAAGTAACTTTTTGTATTACTTTTTTAAGAAGCAAATGATGTGTTATTCTTTTAAAAGCAGATTGCGGTTTACAATTGAAATTGCTAAGTTTTACAATTTTTTACAACTGCACACTTAAGCTCTATTTTTATTTTTTTAGATTATCAACAGACATTTCTGCGGATATTCAGAAAAAGGTAATTTTTAAAAAATAACTATGTATACAAACAAAGAATGAGCAAATATATTATGTATGATCGAGAGGTATAAGATCAGAATCCCTCAAGATAGGTCTTGGTTTGACCCAGGGGCTAGATAAATATATTCTGTATCATTAGCAGAGGTGCACAAAACATTGCAAATACAGCGGCCATGATAAAACTTAACACCACGTTATCTCTCAATAATTTACATTAATGTTCCAATGGACATTACAACTGCAACACTCCAGCATTGCAGGGCTCTATTTCCCTTTTTTCCTTCAATCTATATCTATTTCTGCTTATATACATACAAAAGCCCAAACATATATGTATATATATATATATATATATATATTTATTTATTTATATATATATGTATATATATATACACAACAATATATATTTTTTTATCATACTGTTGTAGATATTTCACACAAAATATATACGCAACAGTTAACGTACTGAGACTTGTTAACTTACAAATTGCTCACATGAACAATCGGTCTACTTAGTGGAAAAATATATTCTATTTAATATTAATTAAACAGTGAAGTCTTAATATTATTGTTTTTAAATATTAAAAGTACGAGACTCTTTTAATGTTTATTTATGTAAGCCGATATACAAATTTACATTATATATAATCTTAAGCACTATACTACGCAACAAAGCATTAATCATTTGTTGTGACTAAAACAATTTATATTTTAAAAATACTTCCTAATAAACTTTTTTAAAAACTTAATATTTAGAAATTTTAAAATTTGCTTTAATCCCGTAACATTTATTTCCTATTTAGTTAAAATTTAAAGGTCACGGAAATGTGAAGACGAAACATAAGTAAGTAATAAAATTACAAACATGCATATGCATGTTTTTTCTAGTCTCTTTATTACATATTGTAAACAATTACTGTTGCTTAAATTGTCCAAAATGTAAAATAAATAAATAAAATAAAAACAAATAAATATGTTTTTTTCTTTTCAAGATATCATTGTGTCTTTTCTACAAACCGAATATTTGCTGTGTTTTAAAAATAGATTTAAAAAGGAATTACTAGCATAAGACCTACTGTAAATTACATTTTGCCTTTTACTACTGGCGAAACAATGTTAGTAAAATAGCGCACTAATATATATATATATATATATATATATATATATATATATATATATATATATATATATATATATATATATATATATATATATATATATATATATATATATATATATATATATATATATATATATATATATATATATATATATATAGATACATATGTATATACATATATATATATATATATATATATATATATATATATATATATATATATATATATATATATATATATATATATATATATATAATTGATCTTGTAAGCAGGAGAATCGAAAAACAAGAATTAAATACATCTGCCAATACAAATCAAGAGACCACGTCAACTGAATGCTGAAAAGTGGTTTTGTCTGCAAAACATTTTTGCCTTAGTAAATGTTAAATAATCTTATTACAAACCTATATTTTCAGAATCTGTTAAATCTTTTACATGTAGATAAACTATATTTTATATTAGCTGGAAAATAATTTACCTCTATTTCATATTATTTTTAGTTGATAAATATTATTTACTTACATGGTATATTATAGAACTTTTTTATATGAAAATACTTGGTACAATCTGATAGAACACAATACACCAAAATTCAATACTTTTTTCGTTACTCTTATAAGATTATGTTTTAAGACATATACATACATTCATGTGATAATTTTCTCGAAATATGTTTTATATATTTTAAGCTTTATGGTATGCAAACTACTGTGTGTATTTTAATTATCCGGTAATTATTTTAACTTTATGTCTGGATTTTTTTATTATCCTATGTTTTCATCAGCTGCTTTCAAAATTAGACAGATTTAAAAATTCAAGCAACTATTTTATGTAAATCATAAACATTATTAAACAGAATACTTTTTCTCTGTCTCATTAAATAATATGAGTTCCCTTATTTTTTTATGTAGTATCTGTCTTGCTACTGATTGTATTTAGCTGAAATTGTTCTTGTTCACAATGATATGTCAAGGAACACGTTACACCAATCAAGTGAAAGAATTGTGTTTATTTTCTGTTTTTAATTTTGAAAACCTAATTTGTTATAATATTTAACTAACTGCTCTATAATTGTTATATTAGTTATATCAGTTTTGCTATTATTACATTATCAGTGAATACAGTCTTTCATTTATTCCTCTACAAAATTGTATTTTAAATCTAAAAGCGTTGCATTTAAAAACGAAAGACAAAATATCTCTTTTACAATACCGTAAGACTGAATGCAAATATTTTCAGCAATTTACTGTGCTAAATTACTGTTAAAATTTTGTTGGCTACATGCTTAAAAATAATCAGAAACTAACTTTGAATTGTACTTTAAAGTTTAACACTCAAATACATTTTTTTTATCCTTATATACATTGTATTTCAACAATTATAATGTGTGTTTCGTTTTAATGTTTTGAATTTTCTAAGAATATTGCGTGTTGCGGAATAGAATGATTGTATAATACTAGAGAAATAATCAATGTGATATTATTTAATGTTTAAAAGTAAAATTAAAGTTTCGGTACCCATAAAATATGCAGTCGATGATTTATTTAATTTTTAACTCACCTTAAAGAAGCAACGTTTTTAAAGTATTCAAATTGAACCTTTTTATTATTAAAATAGTTAGGTTTTATTTTGGAAGATTTAAAAAAAAAATTATCAATGCCTTTAATTTTTACTGTACATTTTTAACAAATCCGTAGGCAAAATTCAAAGAAGAGACTGACTCCAGGTGGTGTATATTTTTTTTTTAATTTCAAAAGAAGTTTTTTAAAAAATAGCTTTATTTATAAAAATATAGAAATTATCGTCTTACGTAGATAGAAAAACGTTTCTACACAAAATAGCATTTTAAAATTGTTATTAGATCGAAGTATTTTAAGCATTATTCAGTAAGAAACAAGATTACCAAAACTTTATTAAAAAAATAGCTTTACATTACAAATTTATTTATTTTTTTGTAAAGTGTAGGCCCTATTTTTGTTTTTTCTAAAAACATTTTCTCTAATTTAAGCTCAACCATGATTAGATAGTCAGTTCTTACTGTCTATAAATCAGGAAGCAAAACAACGGGTTACATTGAAATATTTAGTTGTATCTACGTAGTAACGTAGTTTCTGCAACATATTTGAATTAAATCTTGTATCATATCCCGATATTGCAATTTAAATGAAGAAACTTAATCACTTCCTTATTTATTTAGCAAACATTATCATGGTTTGATGAACTAACTATCTTCTCTTGAGCATTAAGATTATTAACAAACTTTGAAGAAATTGTGCTTTAAGTGAAACGGTTTTTTTTTTCAAAAGGTTCAGAATTATTAAATTCAAACTCTTGCCATGCAGAACATGTGAATAAAAAACAATCATTGCATGTTTTTGTTTTACATTATACAAAATTCTATATTCAAAATCATGTTGCACCTTATATGAAAAAATAATTGAAAAAGTAAATTTGATCATACTTTTTAAAGAAGAAAAATATTTATTTATATTTTCACTGCTGTTCAATACTGCATAAATTGCTGTCACTGAAACTTTTAATTCAGGGCGTTGTCTATTGTAGTTTTATTTAGGAAAATAATTTTGTTTTTAAAACTGGTATGCTTCAATGGGGGTTATACACTGTAGATATTAATACACGGTTATATTTAGGATGCGATTTTAAACATCTTTTTTTTTTAAGTCTGTACATAGCTTGTCAGTATATCTAGGCAATCTTTCAGTGATAAATGATTATAGAACAATAGATCTCAGAGAAATTATTATGTACAAGTTATCTTTTCCCCCTAATACCATTCGCCTTGAGAGATTTTTCCTGAGATATTTTTCCTGAGATAAATTGCCTTTAAATAATTTGTTTTATCAACCTAATAAATATAAGCAACCAGCTACTTGTGTCACCACATAAGCAAGAACATTTGAAAGAACCATCATTACAATTTGATGTGGATACTGTTATTTTGATCTAGTTTAATCAACATTGAACTGATTTATACATATTCTGCTTAGTTTGCTTTTTTTCTTTAATTATTTTTGTATCCAAGATTTCTCCTAATCTCATACTATATAGGGAGCAGTAATGATCCCTAGAGCAACCATCATAATCCAAAATCTCTCTGTGGAATAAATAACAACCATACATTATATATATATATATATATATATATATATATATATATATATATATATATATATATATATATATATATATATATATATATATATTTATATTTATATTTATATATATATTTATATATATATATATACGTGCGTACACGTATATGAACACGCAAACGTACACGCACAAGCAGAGGCACACGCACTCGGATGCGTACACGATCACAAGCACAAAACATGGATGTCAATTTCTTATGCAGCCGTTAAATACACAATATTAGCAACCTTTCAGTGCAGTGTTTTGCTGCCCATTTGTTGAGTAGCTAACCCTGATTCCTGCACTTAAGTTGTAGCACATAGGGTTGTGTTCGTTTTCTATCCAGCTTGCTACAAATTCTTCTGTTGGGTCATACCCTGTAGAAATATACAACTATTTTATTTTCAATATGTTACAGTGTGTCGATTGATTTTTATCGATATATATCCTCACGTAGAGGGAGGGGGTGAGAGATACAATCAAGTTTAGCCTGGTTGTAAATCAAAATGAGCGATGAAAGTATCCAGATAAAACCGAAAGTAGCCCATTCTAGACACCTTTATCACATGTGTGCTGACATTACAAAACGTTCTCGTGTTAGCTTAGCAATAGGGGTTGGGATGGTAACCGAAAGTGGTACTTTACATTCCAATTATACAGACACGTTTTAAATTGAAGATGGAATAAATAAGCGTAAAATTGCATATTTTTAGAACTTTTTACGAGCGTATAGGGAATTAGGATATATATATATATATATATATATATATATATATATATATATATATATATATATATATATATATATATATATATATATATATATATATATATTTATTTATTTATTTATCTATATATATATATATATATATATATATATATATATATATATATATATATATATATATATATATATCAAGGGATAGAGGGGATAAACCGAGAGGGAATCGAATTTAACTCCAACGCTCTGTCGCCAACATCGGTAACCCTTATCGAGACAACATCTCCACCCTCCTGTCCCCTCCACTCTCAGCATCCTCCCACAACCCTACACCCTCCTTGAATTACCTCGTGCTTACGTCACCGACCAGAGCTACAAGTCTTTACCTAATCCACAGCGATCAAATTCACCGGTCTCTTTGTATTTTCTCCACAAGTTCAGAGCATTCCGACCGACGGTTTTTCTACAGGTTTTGTGGGTAATGGCGGAGGCAGCACAGCTCAACATCAAGCTAAGTGAGCTGATATTTTGAAAAAAATGTACAATTTATTTAAAAAAAATAGTCCTGATTTTAAAATAAGTTTTTTTTTTGTTCACTGTGTTTCTTTGTTTGTTTCTATAGATTTTTTTTAATGTGTTTTTATAGTTGCTTTTTCTTTATTGTAATATTTTAGTATTTTTATTTGTTTATTTGTTCGTTTGTTTCATTGATTGTTTCTCTTTTTGTTTCTATGTTTCATTGTTTGTTTAATGCATTGTCTCTGTCATTGTTTGTCACTGTTTTTCTTAAATTATTTGTTTCTTCGTTTTTTACTTTCTCGTATATACAAAGTAGAAAGAAAATCTTGTAATCGTGCAAAAAAAAAATCGAGATTTTTATAAATCTCGACGTTTTACACCTCACTGTCCGTATGTCTGTGTGTCTGTCTGTGTGTGCGTAAACACGATAACTTGAGTACCGTTACAGCTAGGTTGATGAAATTTAATATATAAATATTTTATCAAAATCGTAGATCCGTATCAACTTTTGAGCGATTTCCGATAACTGGAAGTGGTACTTTTTCTACTTTATTTTTTTCAAAAGCTAATAACGTGAGTACTGTTTCAAATAGATAAATGAAATTTCACACGTAAGTAAGAGCTCTAATTTTCTACCTCCTATTGAATTTTGAGTAATTTCCGTTGACCGGAAGTACTAATTTACACTATTTCCGATTTCTCAAAAAACGCATGTAAATTTATAAAGAACTAATAATATTGCGCACTATTATGCACATTTCATTTGGCTTTCACTTGGTGTGCAATTCTTTTTTCTACGAGATTTTATTCTATTATAAAAACTTTAAGTATTTAAAATGGAGTTCCCATCCCCTGTTGTTTTATATAAGAATATTCGAGAAAGTTTAGGGGAGATCACTCCCGGTTTATTTCTAAGTGGATTTGTAGATTTAAATCCACTTCTCATATTACGATGCCGTTTCATTTTATTTAATACTTTTCTGTCCGATGAAAACAAAGCAATATTTCTTGTCTTACGTTATATTTACTTCACTAAAAAAGAAATTACCAATATATAGAAAATAAAAAAAAAATTAAACAAACTTGTATATACATAATATTTTAACCTTTTAAATAACATTTTTTGTATCATCAAAGCGTTTGATGCTCGGTAAATATGTTACCATTTTCTTTTTTGTAGGGATTTACTGTAACCGTGAGATTATTTAACAGCATTCGAAAAACTCAAAATAAAAACTTCAGAAAAAATATTGTTATATATGATATTGTAATAAAGCATATACAAATAGCTTTCAGCCTCAATAGATGTTATCAAAAAAAAAAAATTATTCGAAAAAGTTTAGAGAAACTCAATTTTGGTTTATTTTTTCAGTACATTGAAAGTCTTGTAGTAGTTTTTCTTTAATTTTCAATTTTAAATAATGAACAATTTGAAAAATAAAAGTATTAAGTCGACATTTATGAGGTATTATGTTTTACTTTCTCGTATATATAGTACAGAGTATAGAGCGAGTATTGTAATAGTGCTGAATAATTAAAAAATATTTTTACATATTTCACCGGCTTACACCTTCCTACTTTATTGTATGCGGATAAGTAATGATTATTGTAATCGTGGAAACAATCTAAATCAATATTTTGACAAATGTTCACGTCTATATCCTTTCAATTCTGGAAGAACTTAGTATTGCAAATAATGCCTCTGTCGGTACGTAAACATGATAACTTAAGTACTATTTCAGTTAGGCTGAAGAAACTTCATTTATAAATATTACATCAAATTTGTAGTTTTCTTTAAACTCTTGTGCGATTTCCATTAACCGAAGGTTATTATTACTAAACTATCACTTTCTGAAAAACCTATAACTTGAGCATCATTTAAGTTAGGTGGACGAAATTTCACACACTAGTTTAAGATTAGTGAGCAAGTTTAAGCAGCTTTTTAACGATTTCCGGTATCTGGAAGTGTTTTTTTTTTTACTTATTCAACGTGAAAACGATAACGTGAGTACGGTTTCGTATAGATCGACAAAATTTCATTCCTAAGTATAAGATCTTAGACTTGGATTGCTCTCAAATTTTGAGTGATCTCCAATATTTTTAATTGATCCTTTCTGTTTCTAAGATACCTAAAATATAAGTATCCTTTCAGTAAGGCGGGTGAAATTGTATAGTTAGAAAAGAGATCTTATTTTACTGACTGTCAAATTTTGAGTAATTTTCGATGACTTCTCGCTATTTCCGACCATTTAACATATGATTTCTACTGGACCGAGTTATTTCAAAATTTCACGTAGGTCAGGACTCGATAACAATGTACTTTGACACACAATGTGACTTAATTAAATGTATAGTTAACTTTTTCAAAAATAATCAGTGTCTTCTTTATAAGGTAATAATTCTCCGCTTTATGATACACGCATTAATTGCGATCCGTCGGTAGTACTTTTCATTTACGTAATTCTCTTCACTTTAAAAAAAAATTAAGAACTAAAGACATTTTTTTTTAAAAACACGTCTATTGAACGATGACACTTGAAGTGCCTTCCCTTTACTATTCTATAAATACATACGAGAACATCTAGGAGTGATCACTTCCGCTTTAATTTTAATGAGCTTTTTATTCATTCTTAGTATAAGTCAGCAGAAATATTTGCTTTAGAGCTCGATCACCAACATGAGTCTTAACTCTAAACTACATTTCTCTGACCTACGTTACTTGTACGTAAACGATAACCAGATTTAAAAACATCCGTGAACACAACTCACTTCAGTCACCTGTCTGTGTGATTGTACCTGAACATTGTATCCCCACCTTATTATTAAATACAGTTATCTTTAACTTAGCTTCTGTTGACTAAATTAAAAGCCAACTCGAATTCTAATTAAAATTCCATGAATAAACGTCGAAAGTAAATGTTATTGGACACTGATTTAAAATATCTGATCACAAACTCACTAATGATAAAATAATGTATGTTACTTTAACATATTTTTATATTATTTCTGTTATTTTCAAAACTGTGACAAATTAATTTATGAAAATCGCTCAGAAAGAGGCAGCTTTATAATTCTTACTATTTGCCACATCATAGGTTATATAGTAACTATTTCTAGCATCGTTGTTTTATAAGAAAACATGTTTAAATAAAAATACAATAAATTGAATGAACTGGGTGAGGCTAAGGTGCCATTATTTATCTTACTCAACATCGGATATTTGCGAAATCTACAAGATTAAAGCTATTATTTCATACTTGCAATTCAGGTTTTGGCTTGGATTTGAGTCTTTCCAACAAACATTGTAAAACCTCGTACACGGATCTGCACCACCTGGGCATATTTATTTCATCAGATTAACTTTATAGCTTCAAACAAATGTAAATACACAACAAGATAGAAATTATGTTATGTTAAGTCTATCTATACCCATGTGTATTACCTACATACCGTCCTACTAGACAAAGTAATCTCAAATAGGAAATCAATACTTTTTAAAGCAAATTTGTCCGCATATATTAAAATGTATAATTGCAACATTTAGGTTATGCATACTTTCTATGATTTGATTTATTTGTTGTACTTAAACGCAAATTTTTCTTAGTTGATAAAAAAATAGTAACGTAAACAGAAATTAGGAAAATCAGACGTTGAATTGCAAGAATCATTGGGAACCCCAAAACTGGCAATTAAAATACAGGTTTTTAATTTTTAAAATGGTATTAAATCATTGAAGAAGAAACAAAATGAATCACAGTATTGTCCCAAAAAGCGAAAATCGTAAAACGGTGATTTTTACGAAATAACTAGCAAAAGGGATCCGTTTCACGTGAATTATTGGCCTCTATATTTTTACTGTTATACTTACTTAGAAAAAAAAAATATTTACTAGTTATTGGTCAAAACTTTGTGTGCTTTACTACACGTTGAACGATATTAGTGACAAAGAAAAGAACTAATTAGCTAAAAATCCCACACATTTAAAATAATATAGGCTACCGACCCCTATTAGAAAAATTAAAACCAAATTATATACGTTACTAGTCAACACAACACCATATTAAATTCACACATTCAGTTGAAAACACGGTTGTTCAATGGTCATTATGTTGTTTTTAAAGTAATTTGTATTAGTTTGAACGAGAAAATATTTTACATTTTATAACCTACTTCTTGATTAGTGAATTTATAGAATCTAGATCAAATTGAAATGTGAATGAAATAGTTCATTTCTTCATCTTCTAAAGTTGGAAGATGACGCCTTTAGTGTTGCGTTCTTTCCATAGTGTAAACATGTGGCATGTGACGTCATTGTTTATTGGGTAGTTTTCACAACTATAAATACTTTTCCGTTTGCACAATTTAAAATGTTTCTACATTCTAATATTGCTTTATTTTATTTTCTTCTTTTAATAAAATTTAGCTTATACATTAAAAACACCCACCATATTATCTATCTATCTATATACTCCTAAAACTCAAGTTTGTTTACATGTTTGAATATTTATTTGTTTGTCTGATTTGGTACTGTAAGGAAACTGCTTTATATGGGGGGCTGTAAAATAGTATTTTAGTAGAAAACATTTTTTATTGCAGACAGACTGTTAATCATACATGTATTTAAAGACGTTAATTAATTAATTTATTTATTCATAAGTAGATTAACTACATTAATTTTAAAGTTTTAGAACAATGGCTTAACTTTGACTGAATAGTAACGTTTGATAACTCGTTTTTTTGTTTGTTTGTTTTTCTGATTCATTATTGGGAAGAATCTGCATTATGTGTAGAGCTGTAAAAGAGGATTTTGGGTGGTAAATATTGTTCTTTCTTAAACACACTGTTAATTGCAAACTAATTTAAAGCCGTTAATTAATTTATTGATATTGGTAGATTAACCACATTAATTATAAAAGTTTAGAACAATGACTTTAGTATTAGTAAAAAGATTTATTTTCTTTTTACAACAATGTTTTCAATGATTTTTTCTTAAGGCCTATATGTGAATGATAAGGTTGACTATCAGGACCTCACAAGGCACAGGGCAGGTGAAGTAGAGTTCACCTGTTTCTATGTTCTCAGCATATGAGGGGATAGTGTGGTCAGAGCCATGCTCGGCCGGAATCGTTGTTTTTTTTTAATACAAACATGTCTTAGACTTGGCGGGGCACTTGGCAGGTGAAGTAGAGTTTAGTAGAGTTACTTAAAATATAAAAATCGTCTTTTTGAATGTGGGGTCTGGTTTTTTTGGGATGATAAGTGCTGACAGACGTGATGTCATTTATGGATGACCCCCCCCCCCCCCCCCCGAAACATACAGTTATCTAACTAGGTAACGGGTAGTCTAGTTTTCAACTAAAGTTCATATCTTTAAGTTCTCCATCTATCGCTGAAGATTCAGATCTCTAAGGCTCGGGATATGCGGACGGAGAGATAGATGGAGACAGAGATAGAGATAGAGGGAGAGAGAGAGCAGTTCGCACATACGCTATTATTTCTTAGGATAGCCACTAATTTTGTGTGTTACAAATGTATGTCTGACAGGTATATAAATAGAAACATGGGCCCAAAGATTAAATACGTTTTGGTCCGCGCGTAGATTAATTCTAAGCTCCGTCTCAACCCTCTGGGTCGATGCCTCGAATAAAACACCAAAGCAGTGGTTCTTAAACTGGGTTTGATCGAACCCCGGGGGTCAGAAGTGCGTCAGAAGTTCGTTGGAGGTGAATACACACACCATTTGAACCAGTGTGCGCGATAGGTTTAGCGGCCGCGGCCGTTGACAGTTCAAATACGAGAGCACGACAGCGTGAAATAATAATAAAGTACGCCCGAGCGAAACAACGCGTAAGTTTATACTGTTTCTATATCGCGTAGCCCTTGACGTCACGACAAGCATACGTAACGTATCATGCCGACGTCACTTATACAGGCGCGTTGATCGTGTATACAAGTGCTGTGACGAATAAACTTCTTATTTTTATTTCATGGGACAGAAGTCGACTTGTAACTGTCGTGACGGTACGTAGTATGATTACTTTCTTAAATTTTTAATCCCTTCATACTTGTTTTGGTCCCTCGAAATATAAACTGGTCGAACAAATATGTACAATTTGGATTCACGTGTATAACAAAACTTGATGTGAGTTATCGTCCAAACAACATGATTTTCGATACCAATCTATTTTATTCTAGCACCGGCAAAACTAAGAGAACACTGCATGGGGATGGAAAATACAAGACCACAACGCTCGCTAGCATTTCTGAACAGGTGTCTGAAAGACAAGTGCAAAAGTCGCAAAATGATGTTGATGCAAGGTTCATTTTGCTCAATAGTAAAATATGTACCTTTGTTTGAGTATTTTTTAAAAACATTTATTTTATTTTTTTTCTAAATGCGGCCATACTAACACCTTAAAATTGCAATACGAAATAATTTGTATATAATAAATATGAATATATATATATATATATATATATATATATATATATATATATATATATATATATATATATATATATATAACAAGCTGATATCAATACGAACTTGCTGGGGGTTGTTGATAAAAATCATAGCAGATTTTGAGTTCCGATCGGCTTTCATCAAACGAAAAACCAGTTTTTGAGCTTGGGTCTAAATCTGTAAATATCAAACAAAAAACTTTTTTTTTTTACTTTAGCGTGCACCAATACACACAAAAATTATGTATCATACTTGGATAAATAGGTCAAGATAGGATACAATTCAATGTGATGTTTAAAAAACGATTGATTTGGATGCTAACTTTGATTTCAAAGGATTAAAAGTATAATAACAGTTAAATAATAACTATAGGAAAAATTGTATATTAACATGGAAACAAAAAAAACAGTTTAGCAAAATTATGTTTAAACATAATAAATTCATCACAATTTATACTATAGGACGCTTAGTGTCGTAGGACATCCCTGAGTAAACCCATCTTTGATGTATATCAGATTCACATTTATAAAAATAGAGATGTCGAGATCATAGAAACAGATGAACTCGACTTCACTTACCTCATGGGCTGCTTGGCTAGAGACTTTCCCCTACTTTACTATTTATATGACTGCACGAATATATATATATATATATATATATATATATATATATATAAATATATATATATATATATATATATATATATATATATATATTTATAGCCACAGCCACAGCCACAGCCACAGCCACAGCCACAGCCACAGCCACAGCCACAGCCACAGCCACAGCCACAGCCACAGCCACAGCCACAGCCACAGCCACAGCCACAGCCATAGCCATAGCCATAGCCATAGCCATAGCCATAGCCATAGCCATAGCCATAGCCATAGCCATAGCCATAGCCATAGCCATAGCCATAGCCATAGCCATAGCCATAGGTTATAACGGATGAGAATAGTCAGAACTTAGGTGTCTAAGTGGAGTTAAGACGGGGGTTTATATGCGTTTTTATCACATGGGTGAGTGTAGGTCGAAAAGAAGGGGGGGGGTGACTGCCGACCGGGTAGCGTTTGTTATAGATATGACAATAAAGAAGTAAAATGCATAGTATTGTCTTTATTGAAATTATTTAATTTCGACGCAAACAATATACAGACACATGCAGGGCTGGCGCTACCTACAAGGCGAAGTAGGCGGTCGCCTAGGGCGCTATTCATAGGGGGGCGCAAAAACGTGTAATCGCCATTATTAAAAGTACCTAATAATTAATAACTTTTATTATTTTATATAAACTATAGACAAGGTAATATATAAATCTTTTAATTTCCAACATTTCAGATAATTATGTAATTTTAATGTTGACTCAGTGATCGTTCTAGCTCATGACGCGAAGTTGTGAAACACGTGCAGTTTTGATTTTTAATATGGCTTCTAAGTCTCGTTTTCTCTCACTTTGAATTAAAAATCTCAATACTCAAGGAGATATTTATATTTTAAAACTAAATTAATTGTTGGCACCAGAAGATCCTAAACAGAGCTCTACTCACTATCTTGGGTATGGGTATACAGTTTTTGGAAGAGAGGTTTCAACAATTAGAACAACATGATATTCTAATCTTAATGATATATCCAACATCAACAAAAAGATATTGATGATGATAATCTTCTCAATGAGTTTCCAGTTGTAGCTTCCTTAGCATATGTCACCATCCGATGTTCTTCTCTATATAGTACACCCACCATTGGAAGATATTGTACTTAATGTTTTATTTCCTTGAGAATACAATTAACACTTCCGGTGTCCAGGGGATAGGGGTGGGGGGGGAGGCCGTTTAGTGGATGGGGATCATAATTCGGCAAAATTTTAAAAATGGGTTTTGCACCTTGATAAACTAGTGGTTTTGTGAGTAAAAAATCGACTGCAGCAGTGATTGTTCTACAGTAACTGACACTCACTGTTGCGTAGAGAGAAAAAGATGTAGTATGAGAAACGGGGCCTTTAAACCACTTCCATGACACTGTTCATAATTTTCGGCGATATATAAATGCGATATTTTAAAACTGGATAATCTCAGATTAGAAATGAGTTTCAGCCTATCTCTGTGTGGTTTGTTGTCGAATTGTTTGAATGAAATAAATAGGTTAAATGGTTTAATTTTAAATTTAGTGAGTTAGTCTGCTAATTTATATATATATATATATATATATATATATATATATATATATATATATATATATATATATATACATATATATATATATAAGAATATATATATATATATATATATATATATATATATATATATATATATATATATATATATATATATATATATATGTATATATATATATATATATATAATAATAAGGGGCCCGAAAAAAAATTGCTAGGGGGGGGGGGGGAGGGCGCGTTTTTTATAAGTTTTGCCTAGAACCTGGCTCCGGCCCTGGACTCATGTATATAATATGAGAGTGTGGTGAGAAATGGTACGAGATATATGAGATAGGGGCTTTGTTTTTAATGTCCCTGCATAACACATAAAACTACAAGAAAAACGTTATCAAAAACATTTTGATTTTCATTAATGTGAGCTATATAAAGAAGTCTCTAAAAAATATTTTGTATATTCCTTATACTGTCAATATTTCTTTGACTCTGACTTTAAATTGTTAATGTAAGCACTTTATTTATTTTATAATTTGATTGAAACATTTTTAGTGCTAATTGCAACGACGATTATTTACAAAAGCCACAAACTAGTTTTGGTTAGAAATGGGACAATGTATACTCGTTTTTAATACAGCCTTTAAGTATTTCATAATTAGTTGAAATTTTAATGGAATAGTTTCATCTTTACAGTCAAGTGCTTAGCCTATATTCTATTTTCTTAAACGTCTATCGATTTACTGGGTTTTTTTTTTTACAAAATTTAAAGACAGTCCCGCTTCTCTTTTAAGTGTCCCCGCATAAAAACTTTTAAATTGTGGGTCATGTAAGTCTACACAATCAATGTAGAGTGATAACGACTATGTCAGAACTAGAACAATTATATATTTTTGTGATAAATAAAGTTAGTGATTTTTCCAGACCAGTAAATACGAATGCGAATACGCATTATATATAATACATAGTTTTTAAAACATAAAACTCAACTGTATCCACAGCGTTGAAACTCTCCAGCTTGATTTAGTTGAGCCAACACACGTTGTGCCTTCTCTTTCAATTCAGACCAGCAATCTCCGTTGATTGTAGCTTGATAGGCACAGTAAGCGTAATCAAAGCTTTCACTGTATATATATAGGGCCTATATCACTATATATATATATATATATATATATATATATATATATATATATATATATATATATATATATATATATCACTTTAAATTTATATCACTTTATATATATATATATATATATATATATATCCTATACGATTTTTTATATATAAATATTATATATATATAAGTTATATTTATACTTATAAGTATAATATCTATATAATTATATATATATATATATATATATATATATATATATATATATATATATATATATATATATATATATATATATATGTTTGATACATTAAATTGAGTTTACTTAAAGAGATAAGTCTGTATTTTAGACTAGTTAAAACAAAATGAAGATAAAAAATTTGAAACAAATTATTACAAGCAAAACATTTTGGACATAGCTCCATTTGGAAGACATCTGGCCTGACATACACCTTCTACGGCAGGATTAACTGCAATATGTAACGTCAGATTAGTGGCACATGAGAGTTAAACTACAGCAGGATTAACTGCAATATGTAACGTCAGATTAGTGGCACATGAAAGTTAAAATATTAGAGATATTGGATACGATTTGTATCTTAAAAATCAAAATCACATAGTTTAATAAACTCTCTCTCTCTTTCTCTTTCTCTTTCTCTTTCTCTTTCTCTTTGTCTTTCTCTTTTTCTTTCTCTTTCTCTTTCTCTCCCTCTCTCTCTCTCTCTCTCTCTCTCTCTCTGATTATGATAAGGAGCTGTTGCAATTATAAAAGATAATTAATTATTAACATATCAAAGAAAATACATATTGATGTTTGGGATTATTATTAGGCATTATGGTTTTAGGGATTATGGTTAGCCATTATGGTGGTAGGGATTAGGGTTAGCCATTATAGTTTGAGGGATTAGGGTTAGCCATTATGGTGGTAGGGATTAGGGTTAGCCATTATGGTGGTAGGGATTAGGGTTATGCAATATGGTTTGAGGGATTAGGGTTAGGCATTATGGTGGTAGATATTAGTGTTAGGCATTATGGTTAGGAATTAGGGTTAGAATTAGGCCGTATAGTTAGAGTTTAGGGTTAGGCTTTAGGGCTTAGTGTTAGGGATTTGGGTTAAGCGTTATAAGGGTTAGTTTTAGGGTAACGGTTATGGTCAAGGATTAGGGTTAGGTTTTAAGCATTAGGGCTAAGGATAAAGGTTAGTGATAAGTTATTAAAAACATAAGACCTACAGAGCAGTAAATATTGGAACTACAGAATCACTGATTTTAAAAGAAATGCTCTGATTCACCAGTGAACTACCCATAGCCGCTTCCTCTTTCTGTATAAACAACGTTTATTAAGCCGGGATATAATCTCCATCAAGCTACCGGCACTTGAGCCGGAAAAAAAGAATTATATTCACTACATTTTACTGAATAAAGCATTAATTCACGTTACATTAAGTACTTTTCTAAAACTAAATTAAAAGGTAATAAATATTGAATAATTCAATAGACGACATTCTAACTTACTGTTTAGATATGTAGCAATGGAAAATAGAATCACAAAGGCGGGGCTGTTCATTTTAAAAGCTGTTAACTATCCAATCCTGTTTTTTAAACTTTCGGCTAGATCTAGGCCTACATCTTTTCTCTCTCACAAGATATAGTCAAAACATGTAAAAAAATTCAATGTTATCCAATGATGGTAGCAAAACCGGTGAAGTCATTATAAACAGGAAATGTGGAGCGAAATTGTGCACACCGTGTGGGGATTACTTTTTATGCATAAAATAAAACTTAAACATATTTTTTTTAATAATGGACGATTATTTTAAAATAATATTTATATTTAAACCAGCGTATTCTAAAAAAATTAATAAAAAACGTTTTAATTACAAGATTTTATATAATAATGCACTAAAAAGTAGAAAATAAGATTATACACTACTACTTAAATAACTATAAAAAAAGCGTGTATTACGTTAATATCTATTGGATACCTTTACTAATATTTAGAAAGAGTCCCACTCTTTTACTTATAGTTATTTAATTGAAGTGTATAATTTATTTTCTACTTTTTAGTGCATTATTACATAAAAGCTTATTATTAAAATGTTTTAATGCATTTTTTCAGTACTTTAAATTTTTTATTTACAATATAGTATATAGTTGAATGACTAAAAACCAATGCGCACCTAATCAACATGACAAAGCGCGTATAATAGTGCCGAATAGTTGGATAAGACAGCTTAATTATTTGGACAAAATTTTAATTAATTGATAAAAAAATTAATTAAGCATCTAATTAAGTCAAATGAATTGTCAGATTATATTGTCTTTATGTCTTTACCCACGTGCCAACATTGAACATGATCAGTTAGAAGTGCCCGAAATTTCGCGCGGGCGTTTCGATCTAGACAGACCGACGACAGGCAATTTAAATAAAAGCTTGTAAAAATGTTTTTATAAAAAACGTTTGAATAACAAGCTTTTATGCAATAATGCACAAAATAGGAGAAAATAAATTATAGACTACTTTTTTTAGATAACTATAAAGAAAAGCGTGGGTCACTTTAGTATCTATTGGATCCCTTACTAATGTTTAGGAAGAGAACCACGCTTTTCTTTATAGTAATTTAGATCTAATAAATAAAGTTCAATTCGGTATGTTTGTAAAATGTATGTGTGTCGTGGATTACAAATGAATAGAAAAAAACAATACTTAAATAACATCAAGTGTTAAATGTCTAAAGTGCTCATGGTCTAAAGTCTAAATTCATGATTTTAAAAAATAATATTCAAGGTAATGTAAAACAATTTTCAGTTTTCAAACTTATAATAATAATTGTCGGCATGTTCATTAAACCAATTTTAAAAAAAAATGTATCAATGTTCACAAAACTTCTAACTGTGTCTGAAAATTATTTACATTTAGTACTTTAGGGCTCATTACGTCCCTTGCAAAATTAGGAAAACACAATTACTTCCCTTTATAAAAATCACTACAGCGGGGGGCGGGGGGGAATAATCTACTTTTTATTACTTTATTTTGGTGTTAGGAAAAAAAAAATTACATAATTAGCATGGATTGATCAAGTGCAATATGGTAGGTATTTTAAATCCTGCCTTTTATTTATTTTATACAATGAGCGTGCTGTTTACTAATTATTGTTTTTAATCGAAGACACTTGACGTAAAAAAGACATCTTTATTTGGGAACGGGAAATCCCGCAAGTTATTTTTTGTGTCTTTTTTGTGGTAATTTGTTTTTATCTGTCCTTTTTTGCGGACAAAGGGGAATTTTTTTCTTCACCATAGTGTGTACCTTTTTTAAGCAGAAGTTTTAACAGTACATTTAGCAGTGTAAAGTTTTACTATGTTCTCGATTGTAAAGGCAAGATCGAAGAAAAAACGTCTTTTAAGAGCTATATTTATGTTTCAAAGCATCAAAGTTTCCATCAGATGAACAAAAATATTTGTTTAAAAATCAGTAACAGTTTAGAAGCAAGCTCCTAAATATCCTCTATGTTTACTTTTATCTGTAGTCTTTAACTGAGCCGAATCCGGGCGTCCTTCGGTGCCCTGACAGAGTGTTTTTTGGCGCCCCGGGCTAGACTGTGAGCATTTTGCGTTTATTTTTTTGCGTTTGTTTTTTCTTTGAGTTTGAGTTTGGGTTTGCGTTTGTAGTTGGGTTTGTGTCTGTGTTTACGTTTGTATTTGTATTTGCATTTGTGTTATGTTTGAGTTGTTTTTTTTTGTGTTTTTGTTTTGTTTGGTTGTGATTGGGGTGTTGTTTGCGTTTGGATTTGGGTTTGATTTCGTTTGCTTTTTTGTTTCCGTTAGTGTTTTTGTTTTCTTTGTGTTTGTTGTTGGGTTTGTCCTTGATTTTGATTTTGTGTTTTCGTTTGTGTTTGTGTGTTTGTGTTATGCTTGCGTTTTTTTTTTGTGTTTTGGTTGATGGTGGTTATGGTGGGAAATGCCGGGTATATGCTGATTACTAAACACACAAGTCATGGTCGTTTGTAGATAATTTTTCAGATATGCCAGTTCAGGGCCTGGCCCGGACGGCGAGTAGTAGTCTATAATTTATTTTCTACTTTTTAGTGCATTATTACATCAAAGCTTGTTATTAAAACGCTTTTTATGAAAACATTTTTATTTACACTTGAGTTGAATGACTAAAAACCATTGCGCACCTATCGAACGTGTTGACGCGTGTCTAATAGTGCGGGACAGTTTGATGAGACAGCCTACTAATTTGACAAAATTTTAATGATTTCATAAAAAATTATTCAGGCAACCAATTAAGTCAAATTTAATATCCTGTTCCATTGTCATCATGTTTTAAACCACGTGTCAACGTTTAAAAAAAATCTGTCAGTTAGAAGTGTCCGAAATTTCGCTTGGACTTTTCGATCTAGACAGACACACAAACTGACGAGGAAGTGAATTAAATTAAAGCTTGTAAAAATAGGTCAAGAGATAGTCCATATTAATTTACTAAAACAGTTCATAAAATTCTAAATGTCAAAGCAACCATTACATATTGCCTTAAAGGTAGACAACACCTGAAATGCAGAAATTTAAATTTCAATTCTGCTGCTTCCCCTTTTTAACTTTTGAAAATCATAGTACTCTCCCTTGAAATGACATACATTTCTTTAAAGTTTTTTTTATTTTTACTTTCTCGTAAACAGTATAAATGAAGTATTGTTAACATGCACAAAAATCACAGGAAATTTTGATAGTTTTTTCGGTTTTACACCTTCAACATATACGGAGTATAGGGGACTTTTTTTAATGGGCGAAATTTCTAATTCCAGATTTATCGAAATTTCGGCGTTTTCCTTGTAATCGAGTGGAAAAACTGGGCTTTGTAATTCTGTCTGCATGTCTGCTAGAAAGTACAAGCATAAAATAATATACAATGCAAACATTATTTAAATGTTCATTACAGCATATCCCTTATACATCATTACAGTTTTGTTTTATTTTAAAACAAAACATCCAGTTTCATTTTTTGCCCGATATCTGTATTTTATTAAGAAAGGTTTTAAGACGATGATAAAATGAGTTGCTTTATCTTTTACACTAGCCATAGCTACTATATGAAACTTGTAAGGCGAACAACTCTTCCTGTCTGAGGACAGTGTAGTTTTTCGTGTTACCGGACCTAGCGATTTTGCTAGAGTATTTTTACTTTCTCGTATTCGAAGTAATCGTGCAAAAAATCTCGACGTTGTATACCTACCTTAGTCAGAAAAACTTAGTTTTGCAATTGTGTTCGTATGTCTGTGTATGAGTAATTGTATTTCTGTGATCACCTGCATATGAATTTATAAACTAATATCCTGCATACATTGTTTGCTGTTCACTTTGTGCGCAATTCTTTTTTCTAAGAGATTCTAATTTATTACTTTCTTGTACATACGAAGTATAGAGAAAGTCTAGTAATCGTGCACAAATATCGCATTAAATTTGGACAGTTTTCACCGTTTTACTCCTCAGTCCTTCATCACATACGGGAAATAAAGGACTTATTTTAATCGGGCAAACATTATAAAGCCAGATATATAAAATTTTTGGCGTTTTATGCGTAATGGAGTTTGAAAAACTGGATTATCCAATTCTGTCCGTGTGTCTGTGTATAAACACGATTACTTGAGTACCGTTACAGCTAGGTTGATGACCTAGACCTAGACCTAGACCTAGACCTAGACCTAGACCTAGACCTAGACCTAGACCTAGACCTAGACCTAGACCTAGACCTAGACCTAGACCTAGACCTAGACCTAGACCTAGACCTAGACCTAGACCTAGACCTAGACCTAGACCTAGACCTAGACCTAGACCTAGACCTAGACCTAGACCTAGACCTAGACCTAGACCTAGACCTAGACCTAGACCTAGACCTAGACCTAGACCTAGACCTAGACCTAGACCTAGACCTAGACCTAGACCTAGACCTAGACCTAGACCTAGACCTAGACCTAGACCTAGACCTAGACCTAGACCTAGACCTAGACCTAGACCTAGACCTAGACCTAGACCTAGACCTAGACCTAGACCTAGACCTAGACCTAGACCTAGACCTAGATCTAGATCTAGATCTAGATCTAGATCTAGACCTAGTAGCGTAAGCGGGGAGGAGAGCATGACTAGCAGAAGATTTTGCTGATCCTTTGTTATATGTATACCTGCAGGAAGGTAAGTTTTCATTTAGATTCTTTTGTTGGAGAACAGCATAAAACCAGGTTAAATTTTCACAGGTAAGTACTAGAATTCGTGCATCGCGCCGAGAGTAGGGTTTCACCCTTGCGCTCGGTGTTGAGATAGATATATAAATCGGCGGTTCAGGCCAGGGGCGGAACTACAGTGCCGCCAGACCCCGCCATTTAGGGGCCCACAGCCGAGCATAATTATTTTTTTATTGTTTAAAAAAACTCAATTTTTCTTGTATTTTTGACTTGATGGTTGTTTTGTAAAAAGAATACCGTAGCTGCGGTTGGATTATCTTTATTCTATAGACACTCTCTCACGCTCTTTGATTTTAAACCATTGTGGAAGCCGAGTCCTCTTTCTTTTACAATCAAATACTCGCTGTTGTCGGCAAAATTATTTTGAAAAGAGGCCGTTATAAATGGATGTGCCTTAACACGACCTAGACGACGCCTTATACTGTACGTCTCTGGTGACACTATACCCTAACCACGCCCCCACTGACACGT